CCCCCCCCCCCCCCCGCCGACCCTCGGGGGACCTCGCGCGCGCGCCTTCTCCGCGGCCCAGCGCTGCTTCCCCAGCTGCCGGTGCTGTCCCCGGCACTCCCCGGACCGCTCGCCGCCCCCCTTAGAGCCTCCCGCCGGCACCCCACCCCCAAACCTGCCGACTCGGCTCCGCCGCTGGCCGCCGTCTCCACCCGCCTTTCCCGGGGGAGGGGTGCAGGGGGACTACGGTGGCGGGGCGGCCGCTCCTCCCCGGCCCACCCCCTGGAGCAGGCCTCTCGGCACCCCAGCTCGCGGTGGCAGGCGGTTCGCCGCCGCCAGCCCCGTTTGTAGCAACTCTTCTGCCTCCGGTCTCGGCTGTTGCCTCTTCCCTCCATCCCCGCGCCCGAACCTCTGACCCTCCCTCCCCTTTCCCCCTGTCGGAGAGGCCTTTAACCTGGGCCCAGACCCGTTACTCGGTGGCTTGTTGACCGAGCACTTTTTCCTCCTCCTTTTGTTGAAAAATTTCAACTCTTTAGAAACTTCTCCGTTTTCTCTAATGTATTCAAAAACCCGCAGACTGTCAGGGCTCCGAGGGGATTATTTCTTAGAGGGCCATGTAGCCCAGCACCTCATTTTAGAGATGAGGCCCAGCAAGGTTGGTGATTTGCCCAAGGTCAACCAGCTGCTTAATAAGGCCAGTAGACAGATTTTCTCTGGTGCTTTTCACTTGGTCCATCCATGTCCATTTACAGGAGCGAGACCTTCTGGCCTGCAGGTTTGCGATATACCCGTTGCATGGTGACTCACTGTTCTGCTTCCCATAGCTCTCAAGCCAGCGTTGCTTTCCATGATTTACGCACAGACCTTAAGAAAAGCAAGCACTTCAATCTCTGGCCTCTTTTTTAGAGTGTGTCTGCAGAGAAAGGGAAGATCATCTGCACCCGCTCTAGGATCTCATTTTGTACAGTTTTAAATTGGGGCGAGGGCGATAAAGGTATGGAGAAAGAAGGAAAAAATACAGAGTATTGTCTCTCCTGAGCATTTGAATACAGCTTTGCCTTGGATAAGCCTTGTGTCTTTAGATTCTCTCCTGGGCACATTGTTCTGATATAAAGGTTGCCTCCTTGTGGGGGAGCAGGGGAGGAGTAGGAAATCATTGTGCTTTAATTTGTTGGCTTGGGCGGGCATTTGATAATAAATTATGGATGTGCTGGAACCCTGGGACCCACCCCCCAGCCCACTGAGGCAGGGTCTTCTGGATGAGGCTTTTCTTCCCTTTCAGAGTAATGCTGCCAAATCCCTCTGAAGCAAAATGAAGAGTCTTAGGTCAGAGTGGACACATTCTAAATCTTTTAATTCTTGGTGCAACTTTTCTCCTCCCTGTTTCCTGGTTAAACTAAAGATCCAGCTGAGCTTGAGAATTTATATTTCTTTGTTGTTGGAACTGGTTTCTGATTAAACATGCCACACCAGCTACACCACATACTGGTATAAGTATCTGGAAATTCTGGTGTTCACTCTCATAGTCCAAGTTAAGGTAGACAGAAGATAGAAAATGCAGGAAAATTGGGAAATGCTGTGCAAGTTGCTTACTCCTCATTTTTCCAAAGAATTTACATTTTAATGGACAATCAGAGATTCCCTGGAGTAGTCCCTCCTGGTAAATTAATGAAACTTTTGTTCGTCACACCTTTATATCTGTTGTCCTTGGTTTTTTCTAACTGAACCTGCTATTTGTGATCAGAAGTTAGTGACTTAAAATAATCCCCCACAAAGGGATTATTATGAATCCGGAAGGTGAAATGGGAGTCAGAATCCACCTCCCTATTGGTACTTTTTTTATCATGTTACTGATTACAGCTTCACTTCCGAATACTGCTGTGTACGGTATTGCTCTGAGGCAGGAAACCCAAAATCATTCAGGTTTTTGTGTCCTATCACAGGCTGTACTCTGGATAGCTCCTGATTCATTCTTCATTTCTCTTACAAAGAATTCAACAGCTTATTTTATTTGACTCCCAAATTATTTGAATCTTCTAAATGCATAGATCCCTAGATTGTACATTTCTAGCTTCGTTCTTAGGAGATTGCATGGGTTTGTGGCTCAGTTTTTCTTTACCTGCTCTTTAAGGATGTTATCAATCCATAGCCATCAGTAAAACTGAAAGCTACTTTGTATTGTGAGAATTTGATTTAGCAAAACAATACAAAATCCAAGTGTCTGAAGGCACAAAGAAATTTTTGCTTAGATACTTTGCCCTTGTTGAGGAGGAAGGATGACTTTGTATTCAGAGTTACAGAAGAAAAAAAAACTAGCTAATTGGGAATATTTTGCAGTCTTCTCTCAATTCTTCCTGCCTGGTAGCCTTAGATAAGTGACATCTTTTCCCTCGGTTTCTCTGTCCCTATTTCTTCATTTTGTCCATGAAGAAATTTAGTACCAAGATGAAAGTCATGGATATCACGATGCCATTAAATTTGGTTAGTAATAATAAGGTATAGAAGTGAATCAGATTAGTAAATGAGAATTTATCATGGCTTTTCTATATAGAGCCTAACATCCTTTGCTCAAGAATGATAGGCTTTAGAGGTATAGCAGCCTGAGTTCCAATTTCAGCTGTCCCCATCATGGAGCAGGTTCTTTAAATCTCACTGAGCTTCAGTTTTATTTAAATAACAAAGCGCCTAGCACAGTGTCTTGTAAATAGTAAGTTCTTAATCTAAATTGTGATTATTATTTTACAACAATTATTGACCTGTTGGAGGAACTCTGCAAATCCATGTTAGTAAATTGAATCCTAGATCTAGAAAGATTTTGTAGCTTAAATAGACCATTGGTCTTGAAAGTAGAGTATGTGCACTCCCTGGGGATTGCAGAAGATAAACCATTGGAATACAGGAAACAATTTAGAACTTCTTACATTTATTTTTTATGTAAAAGGAAATAGTAAACTTTACTAATATTGAATATATAGATTAACAGTAACTCATACATTTAATTTATAAGTAAATATATAATAGGACACATTTCAAAAAGATTCTAGAACATTAAAGATGTTTGGGCGCCGCAAATCTGGACCAATCTTTACTCATATGCTTTAGTTCACTTTATGCTTTCTTGTTAGGGATTCAGCTTGCCTCTTTTTGAATCTCCATTGGAGGAATCTACTGTGAGAGACAGGCCATGTCATTTTGTAGTCATACTTGTTAGAAATTTGCCTAAATGTGCATTCTATCCATTGGCCTTACCTTCCTATTTGGGTGCAAATAAGGGTAATATCTCATCCTAGTAGTCATAAAATAGTTTGACATTTATTTATGTCCTGTCTTCCTCTTCCCTAACTAGTTTTTCTACAGATTATAAACATACCTATTTCATTCAACTGTTTCTAATGTGACAGGATTTCAGTTTTTACCAGCTTGGCTCCTTTCCTCTAGACACCCTCCAATTTGTCAGAATTCTTTAAGCTTTTCGAGATTCGAATATGGAATCCCAAGAACTGAAATGAAGTTGAAGTGCCTGCATTTTGTCTTTTAAGTGGTGAGGGATATATTTGAATACATGTTATTATGAAGGTACCTTACATTCGCAGTTTGTCACCCTTGTTCTTTAAACAAGCCCCAGGAACAATAGTTTAGTTAGATAATCATATAGTGAGAGGAGGACAGATTTTTCTTCTCTGTTTCAGTAGTGGTCTCTCAGTTAATTTTGTGTCAGTTAACTTTTACCTCAAAAATACGTAACATGTTAAGTGTCTCTCCAGGTAGGAAAACAAATGACAACAAACTAATGAAATAGTTGGGTTTTTAAAAAAATTAAGGGGTGCCTGGGTGGCTCAGTGGGTTGAGCGTCCAGCTCTTGGTTTCAGCTCAGGTCATGATCTCAGGGTCCTGGGATCCAGCCTGAGTTGGGTTCCCTGCTCAGCCAGGAGTCTGCTTGAGATTCTCTCCCCCTCGCCCCACTCTCTCTCTCTCTCAAATAAATAAATATATCTCTAAAAAAAAAAAAAAAAGATTCTGGAGCACCTGGGTGGCTCAGTTGGTTAAGTGTCTGCCTTAGGCTCAGGTCATGATCCCAGGGTCCTGGGATCCCCACTTGGCAGAAAGCCTGCTTCTCCCTCTCCCTCTCCCTGTCACTCCCTCTGCTTGTACTCTTTGTCAAATAAATAAAATCTTTTAAAAATAAAATTAATTAAATTAAAAAATTTCTCTCTCCTCCTTTCCCTCTGACGCTCCCCCCTTTTAAAAAAAGGTAAAGAAAAAAATCTATTTAAAAATTTAGGAAATAGTCTTTTGAATTAGTGGAAAGTGAAGCGTTTGTTGCTGTACTTCTTTACATTATATATGTAATTTTGAAATCCATAAGGTGGGAAAACTTGGTTGCCCCTTCTCTGTCTTAAGGCTAATAACAGCTGTATGATCGGCAGGAAGGAAAGCTATTTTTAAAATTAAAACTACTATTAAGCACCATGTCAGATTTAACCCGAATAGCCAGACTTCAATCTAGAATTGAATTTAGACCCAAAGAAACTTTTGTATAGAATGTATAGAATGTTTTACTAGTTTAAAAACAAAAGCAGGGCCCCTGGGTGGCCCAGTCGGTTAAGGGTCCGACTCTTGGTTTCCGCTCAGGTCATGATCTCAGGGTCATGAGATCGAGCCCCAAGTGGGCTCTGAGCGCAGTGAGGATTCTGCTCAACTTTCTCCCTCTTCCTACATGTGTGCGCACTCTCTTTCTCTCTCAAATAAATCTTTTAAAAAAAAAAACAACCTAAAATTAAATTTTTGTGTTTTTTTTTTTTAAGATTTATTTATTTGAGAGAGAGAGATATAGTGAGAGAGAGCACCAGAGGGGAGGAGAGGGAGAAGCTCTAACCTAGGGCTCTATCCCAGGACCCGGGGATCATGACCTGAGCCAAAGGCAGACCCTTAACCAACTGAGCCACCCAGGTGCCCCCAAAACCAAAGGTTTCTATGTGACTGTTTGTCTTAATCTCTTTTAATCATTTTTTTCTTTTTCCTTTTTTAAAGATTTTATTTATTTATTTATTTGACAGAGAGAGACGGTGAGAAAGGGAACACAAGCAGGGGGAGTGGGAGAGGGAGAAGCAGGCTTCCTGCCGAGCATGGAGCCCGATGCGGGGCTCGATCCCAGGACCCTGAGATCATGACCTGAGCCGAAGGCAGACGCTTAATGACTGAGCCACCCAGGCGCCCCTTTTCTTTGTCCTTTATGAATCTTTTAATTTTCCCATACTTTTCTCAGGCAGTGAAGCCTCAGCCAGATACCATAATTTGATTGGAGCTATACAGATTCATCTTGCAGTTCTTCCCAATTCTTGTATTTTACATTGATGTTTTTAGCTCCAGGTAGTTTATGTTTTTTGGGTGAAATGGTTAGATAAAAGGCCTTGGGGCGCCTGGGTGGCTCAGTCATTAAGTATCTGCCTTCGGCTCAGGTCATGATCCCAGGGTCCTGGGATCGAGCCCCGCATTGCATCAGGCTTTCTGCTCGGTGGGAAGCCTGCTTCTCCCTTTCCCACTCCCCCTGCTTGTGTCCCTCTCTCCCTGTGTGTCTCTCTCTCAAATAAATAAAATCTTTAAAAAAAAAAAAAAAGATACAAGCCCTCTTTAGGGAGTCAGCATGAACTGCTTTGTGATTAGTGGACCAGATGTGACATTACTGGGGTCAAGCAAACCTAATTTCATTCACTTACTGCACAAAGTACCTAAATTATCTGATCCTCATTTTTTTTGTTTTGCAAGGATTGGAAGTGGTATGTATAAAAAACATGGCATATGTAGTCCTTCATAGATAGCTATTATTTTCTGATAGTTGCAAGTTTTAGTAATCTAAAGAAATATATACAGATTGTCCCTGACTTAATGGTTCTACTTACGATATTTTGACTTTACAACGGTGTAAATGCTGTATGCATTCAGTAGAAACCATACTTCCAGTTTCAAAGTTTTGATCTTTTTTTTGTGTGTGTGAGTAAAGTTTATTAAGTTATTAAGTGAAGATACAGAAAAAGCTCTCAAGAGTGAGGGAGTCCCCACAGGGTTGTGTACAAGGGCCTTTAAGGTTGGTCTTTTATAGAAAGCTAACCAGGGAACTTAAATCCTTTAAACATCTCTATCGATAACACCTTCGATGGCTTACTTCCTTTCTAGGGGCTAGTCATTCTTTGTTGGTCACGGGTGATTATCATAAAGACACCAGACCCACCCCACACACGTAGGGCAGGGTGGTTCCCCACCCCACACGACCCACCGCACATGCATAGGGCAGGGTTCGAAGTTTGATGTTTTCCTGGGCTAGCGACATGGGACAAGATCCTCTGGTGATGCTGGGCAGTGGCAGTGAGCCGAAGCTCCCAGTCAGCCACATGACCATGAGGGTCAACATCCGATACAGGGACAACCATTCTGTTTACCACATCCAGTACAGTATTCAATAAGGTACATGAGCTATTCAGTACTCTATTGTAAAATAGGTTTTGTGTTAGATGATGTTGCCCAACTGTAGGCTAATATAAGTGTTTTGAGCACATTTCAGGTAAGCTAGGTCATGCTATTTGGTAGGTTAGGTGTATTAAATGCATTTTTGCTTGGGATTTTTCTTTCTTTTTATTAGATTATTTATATTATAGAGAGTGAGAGCATGCGAGCGGGGAGAGGGGCAGAGGGAGAGGGAGGGAATCTCAAGCAGACTCCCTGCTGAGCCTGGAGCCCACACAGGGCTCAATCTCATGACCCTGAGATCATGACCTGAGCTGAAATCAAGAGTCGGGACTGAGCCATCCAGGTGCCCGGACTTAGGATATTTTCAGCTTACAATGGGTTCATCCAGACGTAATCCTATTAAAAGTTGAGGAAGGTCTGTACACAGGGTGTGGATGGTGTTTTACATTTCCAGTTAGATATGGGTTTAACCCTAGCCTAATTTTCTTAGACCTAGTGTCATTTAGAGTGGAACTAATTGGTTTGCAAAGTTAGTGTTAAAACATTGGCTTGCTTCTGTAATGTATTTTTCATGAATGAAGGTATATTTTCACATTTAGAGCTTTGTTACTTTGTGATTCTCCAAAATTACTGCTTTGCCAATCTGGTGTGTTTTGTTTACTCAGTAAATACTTATTGAATGAATAGAACTCAATCCTTTTTCAGAGAAAGCTTAGCTGTATTTGATGATAAGAGGGAAAGAAAAAGAGAATGGTCCTCTTTAAGCCACAAAACCCCAGATTTTCCTTTTTTTCATAATTCTTTGTATATGCCAAGTGATTTCTCGATCCTGACGTCTCTAGTATGTATTCTCCAGAGTTGACTGAAAACAGTCTGGTGTCTTTGTCTTTCTAGATTAGCATTTCTAGGTTTTCTGAATTTTGCTTACCCCTTCTCCACTATCAGATGCCGTATTTGAACTCGTCATTAATAACATTTTCTTGGTGGATACCTATCAAAAATAAAATACCTAGTAAACATTTGTCAAAAACCAGTGCCAAAGCCTATGACTAGTTTTGTCACAATCTGTAGTGGTTATTTATGTGATATTTAGTAACCAATGGATTCTAATCAGGCTATAGCAATTCTCCAGTGTCTAACTGGAGCAGGCTAAAAGCCTCTAATGCAGGTTTCATTGAACTCTTAAGTGTCTAATTCCTTATGTCATTTGGTGCTTGCATTAACATGTAATCATGAAAAATTAATGTAGATGTAAAGTATATACTTGGAGCAGATTTTTTCATTGTAATGCACTGTTCCTAAATGATACTCGAACCTGTCTGGAAGTTTGAGGCTGCTAGATATTCATGGGACTTAAGCAGTCATGTCCTAGAACTCACGTCTACTGAAAATAAACTCCAGTTTCATTTCTAGGCAAAGCCACAATGAGACTTAAATTATTATTTAAAACCTAGTATGTAATACTTAAGTGGCAACAAATGTTCCTGTTAATGAGTGAAACATGACTTAGACATTTTTCCCCTCAGGTATAGAATGAGCCAAGGGGATTCAAACCCAGCAGCTATTCCACATGCAGCAGAAGATATTCAAGGAGATGACAGATGGATGTCTCAGGTAAAGGGAAGTGCGTACGTATTATTCACCAAAGATGAGTCTCTTCAGTTTTCCAGAGTCTTTTGACCAAAGCCACAAAAGCGCACGCATTTTTTATGGTCAATAAGAATCATTACTTTAAATAAAAATCTAATGTTACGCTAATGTCGTACCTAATCACCGGCCTGATGTTGGACCAGAGGAATATTTTGAAATCACAGCCATTGCCCTCTGTTCCTCTTGAAAGGTAACAGTGTCTCCACAGCATTCTTTTTTTTTTTGGTAAGCTTTTTTTATTTTGAAGTAATTTCAAAATTATACAAATATTGTAAAAATTTTAGAAAGAACTCCCTATATCCTTCATCCAGACCTGCTAGTTAATGTTTTGCCACATCTGCCTAAATGTTCTGTTCGTATCCGCTTGTATTTGTATGTGTGCATACCAACATTCAGTGTTTTCTGAACCATTTGAGAGGAAGTTGCAGTCATCATGCCCCTTCACCCCTAAATATATCAGTGCATTTTCTAAGAATAAGGACATTTTCTTACAAAACTACAGAATAGTTATTAAAGCCAGGACATTTAACATTGATATTATGCCATGTTCACAGTTCTCCATTTGTCCCAATGTTTTTATGTCAGTTTTCCTCCCAGTCTAGGATCACACATTGCATTCAGTTGTCCTGTTTCTTTATTCTCCTTTACTTTTAAATATTTCTTAGCCTTTGTTTTTCATGACACTGACAGTTTGGAATATAGGCCATTTCTTTTGCGGAATGTTCCTCAATTTGGGTTATCTTTTTCCTCCTAATCAAGATTCAAATGACACATTTTTGGCAGGTATCAGTGAAGTGATGTCCTCAGTGCATCACATAGATGGTACATGGTGTTGGTTTGTCTTATTGGTGATTAACTTTGATCGCTTGATTAAGATGTTGTTGGCCTAAACCAGTTCTTATTTATTATGGTATGGGCTCCTGGGTTCTTATTCTTTCCAGTGGGTTATAACCCGTTGTAATTTTGAAGCTCACTTTGTCCCAGGTTTAGCAAGTGGGTCTCCTCTCCTGGTTCCTGTGTCTTCTTGATGTGTTCCATTGTTTTGTAGCACTGTCTCCTTTGTATTCTTAGCTGCCTTTTAATAAGCTGTTATCACTTAACCATAACTATATTTAACCTTCATCTATTGCTTTCCAACCATATTTCCTCTTTGAAATAACAAGTTCTGTATGATTTTAAGTACCCAGAGTTTTGCATTTTAGTATTTAGTGATTCTGTTTATACTCTTGATAGTTGTCTACTTCTGTTTTTGTCTTCCCAGACTTAAAAATCGGTCTGTCAACTAGCTTATTTTGAATGGTAGTTAGTACTTTTTTTGACTTTTATATGGATCAGCTGCATGGTTATTCTTAATCTTCCTAGTTTATATCCTTTTTTTTTTTTTAAGATTTTATTTATTTATTTGACAGAGGGGAAGAGAGCAAGCACAAACAGGGGAGTGGCAGAGGGAGAAACAGGCTCCCTACTGAGCAGGGAGCCCGATGCAGGGCTCAATCCCTGAGCCGAAGGCAGACGCTTAACTGATTGAGCCACCCAGATGCCCCAGTTCATTTATATCTTAAAAAGTATTATGAAATCCACTGGCCATTCTGTGTATCTACCACTCACCCTAAAAAAATAAAACATGGCTAATGTTCTGTGTATACCCCTCACTGATCATTTTTTCTCTTTCCCACCTCCCCATCCCCAAATGAGTGTCCTAAATTTGGTGGTTTTCTTTTTTCATGTGCTTATATACTATATATATCTTAAATTTCTAAACTATATATATAGTATTCTTGCATGCTTTTAAACTTTTTGTAAGTAGTATGTTTTTGAATGTATTTTTCTGCAGTGTATCATACATGTTAAAAGCGTAGCTATAGTTTTTTCCTCCCTATTTTTTAAATTTTATTTAATTAAGATTTTATTCTTTTATTTTAGAGAGCGCTTGACTGGGGAGGGGAGGGGCAGAGTGAGAGGGAGAGAGAGAGAATCCCAAGCAGACTCCATTCCATGCTAAGTGCAAAGCCCAGTGCAGGTCTTGATCCCAGGTCCTTGAGATCATGACCTGAGCCAAAATCAAGAGTCAGATGCTTAACTGACTGAGCCATCTAGGTGCCTCTTTCCTCTTTATAAATAGTATTTCTTTGCTATATATGAAAATACCATTTAGGTACAAATATTTAGGAACGTTTAGGCCATTTATAACTTTATTAAAAGTAGTAACTAAAACTAGTTGTCTTTGTTCTGACATAAATTAGGCTTTAAATAATTAGCATTGACTAGAAAAAAATAGTCAAATGGAAGAAAAACAGGAATATTAAAAAAAAAATTTTAACCTGTATAGAAGAATAGCTTTAATAAATAATAAAATATATGCTCAGATCTTGGTTTCTTTTCTCCAGTGAAAGGAACCAGGGCTACTTGGAGAAATGATTGCATCTGCAGCTGGAACAAAGGAAATAAAAGATGAACCTGTAGCATCTTGTAGTGCAAGAGAGCAACTACTCAAGAAAAGGAAAAAAAAAAAAGGTGTATGGCAAGAATATCACTGAAGTGAAGTGTCCTTAGTACATCTCATAGAAGACCAGTGATACTGGTTTGTCTCATTGATGATATTCACTTTGACCACTTGAGGCCAACCTGAAAGAGCACCCAAGTGCAAAGTTGGACAATTTGAGCAACATAATAAATCATGATATTATTGGTTTATAACTCAGAGGATAAAGTAAATATTCATGAATCCATTTGCTATAAATAAACAATTGGATAAACGGGAAAAGAGACAATAATTTTAATTAATAAACGTAGGGGAGCCTGGCTGGCTTAGTCAGTAGAGCATGTAATGCAACTCTTGATCTTGGGGTTGTGAGTTTGAGCCCCACATTGGGTTTAGAGATTCTTAAAATCTTTTAACAATAAATGTAGAAGGAGGGAGGGAAAAGAAAACCCTCATTTGAACACCACGGTAATAATTACTGTAGGGAAGGTCCATCAGTGAATACTAAAATTAGTAGGCACACCTTTAAGGAGAGAGAGTATATTTGCCTAGCCTCAAAAGTATCCCCCTGGAAATTACCTTGGTGGTTTTAACATAAGACCATGTATTTTTTGATATCCCCTCTCTCAAGAAGGTAGAACTTATTAATTCCCCATCAGTGAGAACTGGATTTAGTGTCTTGTTTCTTTTTCTTTTTAAGATTTTATTTATTTGACAGAGCACGAGTCGGGGGAGCAGCAGGGAGAGGGAGAAGCAGGCTCCCCGCTGAGCAGGGAACCCGATGCGGGACTCGATCCCAGGACCCTGGGATCATGACCTGAGCCAAAGGTAGACGCTCAACGAACTGAGCCACCCAGGCGCCCCTAGTGTCTTGTTTCTAACAGATACAGTATGGAAAGGAAAAATAACTATATAGTGGAGAAACCTGGCAACCACCACCTTAACCAGATGATCAACATTAACATCACCAGTAATAAGTCATGTTAATATTGTGTACTCCTCTCTGATATAGCAAGGGCACACACATCACCTCCGTGGTAGTCTTCCAGAATAATTCATCACCTCAGTGTATTCGTGACAAAATAATCAGCCCCAAATTGAGGGACATTCTACAAAACACCTGACTACTACTAAACGTGTCAACAACGTGAAATAACAGGGAAAGACCAAGAAACTGTCCCATGGTGGAAGAGACAAGGAGACATGTAGACTGAATGCCATGTGTTCCCTGAATTGGTCCTGGGAACAGGAAAAGGACATAGAGGAAAAATTGGTGAGATCTGAGTAAACTGTTTTTTTTTTTTAAGATTTTTATTTTATTTTTAAGTAGTCTCTACACCCAATGCAGGGCTCAAACTTAGAACTTTGAGATGAAGGGTCCCATGCTCTACTGACTGAGTCAGCCAGGTGCCCCCTGAGTAAACTATTTTAGTTGATACTCTTTATGAGTGTTAATTTCTTAGTTTCATCCAATGTATCATGCTTATGTAAGATGTTAACATTGGAGGGAGCTGAGTGAAAGGTATATGGGAATACTGTACTATCTTTGCAACTCTTCTGTAGATCTAAAATTATTTCAAACCAAGTTTTAAAGTGATAATATTTCCTATGAAGCATTGCCAAAATACCATACCACATATCAGGAAATACCTGGAGCAGATGAACGTGTCCACTAGGACCACCGTAGGAATGCAGTCAACAAAATCCAGACTGTGGGAGATTCTGTGGGTCAAAATGGGCAGAAGACATGAACATGAACAGACACTTCTCCAAAGAAGACATACAAATGTCTAACAGACACATGAAAAAATGTTCAACATCACCAGCTATCAGGGAAATACAAATCAAAACCACAATGAGATACCACCTTACACCAGTTAGAATGGCAAAAATTAACAAGACAGAAACCAAGTGTTGGGGAGGATGTGGAGGAAGGGGAACCCTCTTACACTGTTGGTGGAATGCAAGCTGGTGCAGCCACTCTGGGAAACAGAATGGAGGTTCCTCAAGATGTTAAAAATAGGGCTACCCTATTCTACTTTCGTGTACGTTTGATATTTTTCATATTAAGTTTTTTTAAGGGTAATACTAGTTATATGCTTTCTGGACTAGAAAGTAGACAAGCTAGAATTTGAACATAGGCTGTTCTGTCCCCAAAGCTATTGTGCCAGAAAGAGGTATGCATAGTGAGTCAACTGTTTAAAAAAAGGTTAGGGAGGCCTGTGGGAAAAAAAAGGAAAATATCCCCAAATGATAGTTACTGGGTTAAGGTGGTAGAATTCTAAGTGTTTTGTTTTGATCTATTTTTCCAAACTTGTTGTACCTACTTTTATACTTAAAAAGAAAACATAGAGTACCAGAACCTTTAGAACAGCAGAGCTTAAATTCCATGACATTCTAGAACTGTGAACTGTTCTACTGGTATTGAGAGGTAGTTGGCACTATAGTACCACAGTGGAGAGGAGAAGTGTTGTGGAAGTGTACCTACTTACCAGCTATGGTTTTATCCAGGCCCATTTTATCCCTTCAGTTTAAAAATACTTATTGAAATAGTAGTAATTTAAAAAGTTTATTTACACAAAATGTGGATTAAAATAAGGAAAATCTATGGGCACCTGGATGGCTCAGTCGGTTAAGCATCCAACTCAGGGTTTCAGCTCAGGTCATGATCTCAGGGTCTTGAAGTCAAGCCCCCCAAGTCGGGTTCCGTGCTCAGTGTGGAGTCTGCTGGAGAGATTCTTTCCCTCCCCGCCTGTTCCTCCCCCACTTGGACTCTCTCTCTCAAATAAATAAAATCTTAAAAAAAAACAAAAAGGAAAATCTGTATCAAATCCTGTCACTTACAGGAGGAGCTCTATTAATTGTCAAATTATTTCCAGAAGTATTTTTGTATTTTCACCCATAGCAGATGAGTATCTCCGATTCACCACAGTGTTACCTGTGCAGATATTTAGCAGCAGAAACACTTAAATATAACTGTACCTTAATTCCTAAGGAAAGCATAGCTGAATGTAGAGCTTGAGAAAAAGGAACAGCATTCAGACCTTTCCCTAGAACTGGGTTAAAGACTGTTGCCTAGAGTATCGTGTACGTTTATTTCAGGGATGAATATAGAAACTTCAACTATGTCCTTTAGTATTTTTTTTTTTTTGAAGATTTATTTATTTGACAGAGAGAGACAGCGAGTCCTTTAGTATTGATGAGTAAAATCCATTTTAAAAGTGTCTTTTGCCCTTGCAGCAGAGAGAAGTATTCTAGGACTAGGTCATGGTCACCACTGCTTATAGATTTGGATTCGACTGAGAAAGGATTGACTCCCACTTTGCCATTGTCTCAGAGTTGGAGGTGAACAGGCATTTTCAAAGGCCATGTTAAATACATCCAAATAAGATACATGATTCTTGATTGGTTCCTAGTTCAAAAAAAGAGCTATAATACTTTATCCAACTCTTGGAACAACTGGAAAAATTGAATATGGACTGAATATTATGGGATTATTGTTCATTGCCTTAGATGTGATAATAGTTTTGTGGTTTTATAGGAGACTGTCCTTACTCATGCTGAAATACGTGAGGGTGAAGAACCACAGCATTTACCACTTACCTTCAAATGGTTCAGCAAACACAGATAAAGCAAATACGGGAGAACGTTATTGTTGAATACAGGCAGAGGATTATACAGGTGTTCATTGTACTATGGCTTTTCTGTGTATCTGAAATTATCTTTCAAAAAGTTTGAGGAAAAGATAAACTTCTAAAAAACATGTTATATGTGTTTTTCCATTCTGGTTTCAATAGAATTCCAGTTTTCTTAGCATGTTATAATGATCAGTGTGGTAAGGGTGGGAAGAAAGTCCCAGCAGTTTATTTCAGACAGAATAAATAGAATGTTTAACAACAGAGTAACTGGTTGGACAGCTGTTCTGTCTAGGCCAAGACCTCTCACTGAGAAAGAAATGCCAGTTTCTAATTTTTCTTCCTTTTTCAAACCAGCACAACAGATTTGTCCTGGACTGTAAAGACAAAGAGCCTGATGTACTGTTTGTGGGGGATTCCATGGTGCAGTTAATGCAGCAATATGAGGTAAAGGTGGAAGTGGGGAGGGTGGGTCTTGGTTACCAAAGTAAATCCATTCATCGCTAGCAAACTTTCACTCTGAGCTGAATCTGTAGGTTTATTCATGACACTTTAGAGAAGCTCTAGTTCAGAGTGCAAGGGAGGTCAGACCTCCATAATGGGATTCTTTGTGCCACCAAGCATGATGAGACAAAAAATTCAGAATTGTTTCTAACTCAGCTCCCTTTTTTGCCGTGGCTTCCAAGAAGCTTCCCTATTATGTTTATTTACTTAAATTTGTCCTAGTCATGATTCTCAAGTCTTACTGTGTTTTACATTTTCTTATTTTGTATATATTTTTAAAAGATTTGTTTATTTAATAGAGAATGTGGAGGAGGGGTAGGGGCAGAGGGAAAGGGAGGCAGAGAATCCCAAGCAGCCTCCACACTGAGTGCAGAGCCCGATGCGGGGCTCGATCCCATGATCCTAAGATCATGACCAAGAGTCGGATGCTTACCTGACTAAGCCACCCAGGTACCCCTTATTTTGCGTTTTTTTTTTTTTAAGATTTTATTTATTTGACAGAAAGAGAGCAAAGTGGGGGGAGTGGCAGGCAGAGGGAGAGGGAGAAGCAGACTCCATGCCGAGCAGGGAGCCTGATGCGGGGCTCGATCCCAGGACCTTGAGATCATGACCTGAGCCGAAGGCAGATGCTGAACGACTGAGCCACCCAGGCACCCCATATTTTGTGTTCCCCATCTTTTTTTAAGATTTGCACTCTTCCAAGGGCAGTTTAAAGGAAAAGATAGCTTGATTCCTTTCTGGCTCCAGCACTCTAAATTTCTTCATCTCGTGTTTCTACTTCACCCTACTCATTTTGATGCATGAGTAAAGGGAAAGGAGAGCTTACTGAGTTGGCACCTTGAGTATAAATGCTGGGACCTCGTGACGGGCATCAGGCAGCATTGTGACTCCATTCTTGAGCTGAGGTCGAAGGCTGCATTAAGAACTGAGTGATAGAGGGGCACCTGGGTTGCTCAGTCAATTAAGCATCCGACTCTTGATCTCAGGTTTTGATCTCACGATTGTGAGTTCCAGCCCCACTTTGGGCTCCACGCTGGGCATGGAACCTACTTAAAAAGTAAAGTAAAAAATACGTTAAAAAAAAAAAGTAACCATAGAAAGAACTGAGTGATACAGTACCATCCTCAGAGCCTTGCAAACACTGAGGTAGCTCATGATTTGCAGCATTACATTTGAATATAGAAAATGAAAATTATTCTTTCAGGTGCCTCACAACACATTGCAATGGAAGAATTTTATTTCCCACTCAGTTTAAATACAGCTCTTTTTTCTCTTTTTAGATATGGCGAGAGCTTTTTTCCCCACTTCATGCACTGAATTTTGGAATTGGGGGAGATACAACAAGACATGTTTTGTGGAGACTAAAGAATGGAGAACTGGAGAATATTAAACCTAAGGTGAAATGAAACTAATGTTTTAAAGAATATCTTTAATCTTGAGTCTTTTCCAGGTAGTTAAGTTGTCTGAAACCACTAGTAAAAACAAATTGCTTCTTTAAAGCATTATTTTGCTATTGTCTTTGCTTTGTGCCCCTTTAAGGTAAATGATACCGTTGTCCTTGCTTAAGAACATTGCAGATAGGTATTAAGAAATCAGTGTGTTGCTTGCTTAGGTTGTATATGTAGTTGTTAATAATGGTCTTCTTCAGCTGTAGGAAGGGATTTGATGCTCATGAGGCATGCTATTCTGTAGATCCGAATGCAGCACCAGGGGAGTCTGCTCAGACAAGGGCCATGGTGGCAGTGCCATGATTCATTTCAGGAAGTCATTTTGGAGCTGTTTAACCATATCAACGAATTAGTAATTAAGGCCTCCCAAGTTTTTCTGAAGACGATTTGAAGCAGATATGAACAAACGTTCATAAGTGTGTACCCCACTACCCTAACACATTATAAATGTCCTGAGTTGGCACACTGCGTGTAATTTTTTTCAGCTCTAAACAAACAAACAAAAAACAAAGTTGATAACAGTAGCTTCATTGGAAGTATTTTATTTTTTGCCTTTAAAAATTTTTTTTTTAATTTTTAAAAAAGATTTATTTATTTTAGAGCATGAGTGGGAGGGGCAGAGGGAGAGGGATAGAGAATCGCAAGCCAACTCTGTGCTGAGCCCAATGCAGGCCTTGATCTTATGACCCTGAGAACCCAACCTGAGCTGAAAGCAAGAGTTGGGTGCTTAATGGACTCCGCTACCCAGGCGCCCCTTTTTATTCATTTGTTATTATTTATTTATCTATTTGAGAGAGAGAGAGAGAGAGAGAGAGTGCTCCCCTGGGAGTGGGGGGAGGAGCAGAGGGAGAGGGACAAGCAGACTCCATGCTGAGCGCAGAGCCCAACATGGGGCTCGATCCCATGACCCAGAGATCATGACCTGAGTGGAAATCAAGAGTCAGACCCCTAACCAACTGAGCCACCCAAGTGCCCCTCTTTTTTTTTTTTTTAAGATTTTATTTTCAAGTAATCTGTATACCCAGTGTGGGGCTTGAACTCACAACCCTGAGATCAAGAGTCCCATGCTCTACTGACTGAGCCAGCCAGGAAGCCCTATTTTTTGGCCTTTCTAAAAGAAAAACTAGTCCATGTTCCTGTCTTTTGTGACAGGGTGGAAAGTTACTTTGTTGGGTTGTATAGTAAGATGTATGTCTCTAGGTGACAGCCAACTCGTAGATGAATTTTTTTTTTTTAAAGGGGAAAAACTCGTTGAAACTTCATCCAGCTTCCTCCCCAGCTACTCTTTCTTCAGTATAACTGCATTTATACCAGTTACATTCCCTTGGGTACTTTTGTTATTTTTTTTCTGGAAGATACTTCTAGTCAGGGAGTTTCTGTGGTAGGAGTTGCAAATATTTTTCCCTGGCTTTCTTAAATTTCACTTTAATATTTTCTTCAACATGCAGAATTTTTATTTTTATACAGTTGGATTTGTTATCTTTTTTGTATAGTTTCTGGATTTTAAGAGCTTAGCTTCCAACTCCACAATGATGAAAGAATTCTGTCATTCCTTCCCAGGGTAGTTTTACTGCTTCGGAATTAATCTGCTTGGAATTTATCCTGAGATCTATGAGGCCTAAATCAGTGTTTGAAGGTGGCTGCTCAGTTGAAGTTATCCCTACCATTTGACAAGTTCACCTTTCCTTCTTTTGATTTTTTGAAATAAGATGTTTATCTAAACATTGATAAATATTTTTATCTAAATATTAGATTTTTATCTAAACGTTCCTTTATTCTTGGTTGTTTACCCCTCTCCCCGCTTTCTTTTTCTTCGCTCAATTATAGGTCATTGTTGTCTGGGTAGGAACAAACAACCATGAAAATACGGCAGAAGAAGTAGCAGGTGGAATCGAGGCCATCGTCCAACTTATTAACACAAGGCAGCCACAGGCCAAAATCATTGTATTGGTATGTAGCCTTTGGGTCGTAGTCTTTGATGTCATTAGGTCAGGGGAGGACTGTTTTTAGAAATACGATTGCTCATGAATATAGAGAATCTTTAGGTGAAAGCAGTTTATGATACTCCTGAGAGGCTCTTCTCTGATATGTCCTCTTATCTTACTGGTTTCATCATTTCCCAGACCAGCTGAGGGAGTCATCTTTTATCTGCTTATCCTTGTTTAGAGGTTGTTGTCTCAGGTAGCCTTAGTTTTTGTTTTTGTTTTTAACTGTATTCTGATAATTTTTAAAATCACATATGAAACTTGTCCTAGTCCTGAGTCTCTTTTTATTAGACTAGCTTTGGATTAACGTGGATGTGTTGTTCAGTCCCACTGTTCATATGTTAAAGGTGGTATATTTATTAGAATCTCTGAATTCTCTAAAACATCAGAGATTCTGTTAGCAAAAAAATGGGTGCTTTATAGTCTTACTCCTAATAGAGTGTAGTGTAGCCCTTTGTGGAGCTAAAGCATTAAATCTTCACAGTCTCAGAGATAAATAGCTGTCTTTCAGTATGAAAGTTTACGTATAGATATTCCTAGCAAAACCAAATTCTGAATGAAATCTGATATGTATTCAGTCCTTTAATGAGATGATGTTAAGAAGATAGTCATTTATTCAACAAACATGAGGATCACTATGTACAAGACACTGTCCTGGGTCCTGAACATACAAAAATGAGTAAGACATTGTCCCTCTCAAGGAGCACACAGTCTAGTCTAGTGGTCGATGGGCACAGCAATATAAAGAGAGAATTAGCATACTGTATGCTAATGGGAGTAATTATACTGTATGCTAAGGGGAGAATAGGTTGTTTTTTTGTTCTGTTTCATTTTTTAAGAATTTATATATCTATTTGTCAGCGCACGCACAAGCAGGGGGAGTGGCAGGTAGAGGGAAAAGCAGGCTCCCTGCCGAGCAAGGAGCCCGATGCGGGACTCGATCCCAGGACCCTGGGATCTTGACCTGAGCCGAAGGCAGACACTTGACTGACTGAGCCACCCAGGCATCCCAGGTTTTTTTTGTTTGTTTTGTTTTCTTAAGATTTTATTTAGAGAGAGTGAGTGCACTCAAGCAGGGGGAGGAACAGAGAGGGAGAGAGAGGGAGGGTGAATGAATCTGAGTGTGGATCCTGATGTGGGGCTTGATCTCACGATCCTGAGGTCATGACCTGAACCAAAACCAAGAGTCGGACGCTTAACTGACGGAGCCACCCAGGCGTCCCGTGAGAAAGGGTGGATTTTATAAACGCTACATTTGACTATAGTTTTTAAAGAATTCATTGGTCACCAGACAAAATGGAGAAAGAAAAGAAGGCATGACAGAGGGAGGAAAAAAAAATGGTGAAAGTGTTATACTTGTGTGTGTTCGTTGGGCGGACGAAGGGGGGTGCTTGAAGAATTTTAGGACTGTCACTGAATGAAGTTTAAGGCTGGGATGGTTAGGAGCAAGAGTTCTGGCCAAGTCACGCAGGGATCTGTCTGCCTTGAGGGACGAGCTTGGGTTTTTCTTACTGCTGCTGGGGAGCCACGCCTTACTTTTCTATTACATGGTATCTAATATACTTTACTTGCTTATATCCCTGCTTTACTCCAAAAAGGGTTGTGGTTAAGAGTCCACCCCTGAGGTACAGTGGCTGGTACATAGCTGCTTAGGACATATTTGTTGCGTGAATGTTGCTGAATAAATCCTCCATAAATAGTCTCTGTTTCAACCAGACTTTTAAATTTGATAGACACCGGTGTTCTCTACAACACTCAAACATCAGCAGTGCCCTAAATGATTCCGTGAGGGAATGCTTGCAGAAGTCACTGAACATAATAGCCCCGATCCCGTGACAGTTAAAAGAATTGTGTGGAAACAAGATTTATGACGTATTTAAGTGAAAAGTCCAAATACTAAACTGTGTGTGTATTATATTTAGAATTACTTAAAATACAGATAACCCTTGAGGGGCACTGACCCCCATACAGTTGAAAATCTGTATATAACTTTTCACTCAAATTTGACTACTAATAGTCCATTGATCAGAAGCTTTCCTGATAAGCAGTCAATTAAGATATATTTGGCATGTTATATGTATGACATACTGTATTCTTACAATAAAGCTAGGGAAAAGAAAATGTAACTAAGAAAACCATAAGGAAGAGAAAATAGATTTACAGTACTGTATTTATCGGAAAACATTTGTGAATAAGTGGACCTGTGCACTCCACACCTGTGTTGTTCAAGGGTCTGCTAGTCACGTGGTGAAGAGATTAGGAGCATGATATTTTTCTTTTTTCTTTCTTTTAACATGATAGTATTTTAGTAATTAATTATTATAGGGAAAAATCACATGGCATACCTTTGATATTCTCATATTAAGGAAAATGCTATGCAAATACATAAGGTGCTTTTCTCATCCTTGCTTGAAAATCCCAGTAGGTATGGTGCCCTGTTCTTAAGGCTTACTCATTTTTTATGGCTTTGTCACGGTGTTCTTCGAGTGTTGGAACAAAGTGTATGTTTATTGTTCACTGGCCATCCTCCCTGGTTGCTCATATCTCAGCAAGACCGATATGTAAGCAGTTCTTTTTTGTTAACTGTTAGATGCAGAGCCTAATACTTCAACAGTTATGTAAATGAGGGTTTAGGATTGACTTTGTGAAATTTTTGAGCCGCTTAACAAGGATAGGAGGAGATGGTCTAGGGTAGCAGAGTCATAATTATCTATAATTCTCATTTGGAACTGTACAGTCACATAATAAAGTGGTAATAAAGTTTCCAACATTTTGCTGAAAAGAATTAAAGACATGAACAAGTACCTAACTTTGGCATAAAGGTTTTTTTTTTTTAGTAGAATACCCACAGAAAATCTATTTTTGTAAAATAAGACCTCTTACCATAGCCTGTAGGAGAAATAGGTAGAAATTTTTTTGCCTACATAGGAATAACTTGGTGTGTGCTATCACTAGTTATAAACCAACTGAAAGGTTGTCTGACAATAATTTTATAATAGGATCAGCATCTGTAAAAGGACATTTCTAGTTTGAGATGATAAACCTTGGTTTTGCCATGTAAGGGTGGACTTTTATTGACTAAAGGAGGACAGACATGTGATTTACCTGAAGATAGGTAATTAACATAAGTTAAAAATGAATTAAGGAAATATCTGTTTTATCCTAGCAGATAATATGTGGCTTTGGTTGGTCTAGACCACATTTGTTCCCACCGTTTGTCTTGTGCAGTAGTATAGGTTCCGTGTAGCATTCATAAACACATGTGCATTGGAGCTAGGTGATTCTGATGACCGTATGGAGAATGAATTGAAGGGAAGACCACGCTGGAGGTAGGAAGGCCAGTCAGGAGACTTTACATTAACTGAGCGAATCGTGATAAGTTTCCAAGCCATAGCAGCATGTATACTCAGAATGGAAGAGAAAAAAAGGTTTTGAAAATTATTGAGCATGCAAAAGCTGAGTAATTTAATGGTAAATAAGGTGTGTGGGATGAAAGATGCAGGGGGGTCGGAATGATCAGTTGGTACAGAGAATGTAGAAGGAACATAGTGTGGGGAGAAGATGATGAATTGCTTTTGGACATATCAGGTCGGGAGTGCCTGGGGAAGTTTGGGCAGTTTGGTTCTGGGCTAGAGTGTTCAGAGTGGGCGGAGTCGTAGGCCGAGGACAAGACCCTGGAGCGTACCGACAGTTAAGGGACAGGAGGGGGAAGAGGTGCTTCTGAAGAGACGGAGAAGGGGTGGTCAGAGGACTGTCATTGAAACCAGTCTAGTCCAGAGTTTCTATTCTAGTGTTTGAGAAATCAAAGTTTTAAGAGTGTCAAATGGAGCAGTTCTTCCAGGAATCCAGAAATCACAGATGAGTCAGTAGAGAAAAACCAGTGACTCTTCTCTTCTTGTGCTCTCTGCTTTGCCCCAGGGTTTGTTACCTCGAGGTGAGAAGCCCAACCCGTTGAGGCAAAAGAATGCCAAGGTGAACCAGCTCCTCAAGGTTTCCCTGCCGAAGCTCACCAACGTCCAGCTCCTGGACACAGACGGGGGCTTCGTGCACTCGGACGGTGCCATCTCCTGCCACGACATGTTTGATTTTCTGCACCTCACGGGAGGGGGCTACGCCAAGATCTGCAAACCCCTGCATGAACTGATCATGCAGTTGTTGGAGGAGACCCCTGAGGAGAAACAAACCACCATCGCCTGACTGGCTCCCATCAGTGTTACTTGCACCCCAGCTTCCTCAGATCAGTTATATCACTGGCACTACAGAATCCTTCTCTTTCCTAAGGCACTTTGCATTGTAGAATGTTCCTGGATGTTCATATCTAGTGTTTGAAGGGGAGGAGGGATTTAAACTGGTCCTGTACATAGAAGGTTGGTTTGACACAGGAGGCAAATTAGCCAAGGAAGATTGTTGTTTAAATTCGTTTGAAACCAGAAGGGGACTTTTTAGTTGTACGTGTGACACACTCATTGAATTATCACAGTTTTTCCTAGGACAACATCGAGCCTAAGGACGGAACGAAATGAAGATTTTTTTTCATGGCCTTTCTTTCTATGGATTATGTCATATAGAGTAACGATCAGGACCCACACCTACTTGGCTTTAATACAGATGTCTTTTCCAGTTTTTAAAGTTCATAATTTAGCCCTTTGTTTTTAGTTTGCTTTACTCCTATGTATTCGCAACATTTTCTTAACATACAGCATCAGATTGAACGTGCTTGTGATTCAGATATGGGAGATGCTATGGTTAACAAGTGAATTTGTTCCACTCTCTTAATCTTTCCCATGTTTAGCAGTGGAAGAAAGGTTTTGCCCCATTTGGGGGACTCTACGGAGGGTATTATTTTTATGCTGCTGAATATCATGTCTATAATAGACCCATGCATGCAGCCTTTCCTCCCTATTTCCCCTCACCCCCTCTTTGTTTTGGGAGGGATCCTTGTTGACATTACAGGCTTTTAACACATTTTTGACCTAGGAGCTCTGTTGCTGGAAGTGTAAGTCCCCAGCCAGTTACTCTCATGATGATAGTACTGATGTGCAGCTCATTCTCGTGTGGTGCTCTGTGCGTAGTCTCTGTAGTGCTGTCCAGGTTCGGAGTTCTGGTTTGGTTTGGTTTGTTTTTCCCTCAAGATGTTTTACACTTTCCTCTTTTGGAAAAAAAAAAAGGGGGGGGGCAACCAGAACTCTATTTCCCATTCCATAAGCCCTGACATTATTTCAAGTTTTATAGTATCTTAGGGTGTATATTTTATTTTTTTATTGGCTTAGTTTTTAAAATTATATCAGTCCAGAAAAATTTGGCCTTTTTCATGAGGAAACAAATGGAGCTGCTCTTCAGAATAGGCATTCTACCTTGATCCCACCATTTTAGTGAAAAAGAACTAGGTTTGTTTGACTTTCAGGGTCTGAGGATTTCGAGAGAGCTCTTTATAATCTTAATGTTTTGCTTGAGCTTCAAGAACTGCCATTTTAAAAATAATGCGACAATACATGGTTTATTATTCAGTATACCTTTGGAATATGTACAAACTGGATCTACAAACAAATATTTTAAACTGGACCAGGTGGGTATTGGAGTAACCTATTAAAATGTGCTCTGCACTGATTCTGCTTAACATTCAAGTTCAGTGACTAAGGAATATGTTCGATGTTCTGCTTGCAAGGCAAGTGTTGGTGCTTTTGTGAGTTGGAGGGGGTTGCTGATTTGTGCTAAGAGCCGCTTCTGATTGAGAGGGATAGAACTTGGGCTGATGTTTTTCTTGTGAAATGTCTTTCTAGGAATTTTTTGGTCTTATTTTTAGTCCTTTTTTTTTTTTTTAATACATTTCTGAATGTATCATGTCTTCACTAACGACAGAAAGTACATGTGATGTTTACTAGACTCGTTTCCCACATTAAGGTTCCCTCTCTTTTTAGGAGCCCAGATTCTTGAGTTTATCAGGACAGGTTTTTTCTTAGCTGAGGCATAGTTCTAAGGAGGGCGGAGAAGTTTGTGTGTAAAAAGACCGATTCTTATCCAGGTCTTTTTCCATTTGTCAGAGGGCGGGAGTATTGTCCAAACAAACCCGTTAGATTATTCCTGCAGCATGCGCTTTTAGCTTCCCTCTTGACTAAGGATGAAATAGCCCTTTGTGAGCTGGCCTTCGGCTCCTTTGCTTATGTGTGTAAACCTCGGGTGTTACTACATTTTAATATCTACCAGAGCTATTTGAGCAATAGTATTTGAACCACTGGCCTTTTAAATAAAAGTCTGACCCATTGCTAATGTGCAGATACTGAGTCCACTTTCATTTCTTGCCCGCTTTCTTTGCACTGCTTTAGGGCAAAAAGTGTTCATCTGTTTTTCTTTGATTAACATCCCTGTTCGCTACAGTGACAGAACTTAATGCTTACTCTTTGGATTTCTCTCTTTATACTTTTCATGTATATGTAAATGTAATGCACTGTCCAAGTGAAATGTCCTAGTTGTCATTGTGATTAAGGGGCCAACTTTCCAGACAGCTAGCAGAGGTGTTCTGATCCTCCCCCCAGCAAGTTTTAATTCCTTTGCCCCTCCATTCCCGATACCTAGCTGGCAGCTGGTGATGTCTGTGGATTTCTGTGGGCACATTGTGAATGTGGCGGGTTGAGGGTGTACTGCCAAGGATGACCTAAGGCGTGTTGTTTTGCTGCCTCCATATTCTAGGCTGCCATGGGCAGTGGTCTGGCACCCACTTAGGGTCTTTTTCTACTGTTGGGGGCATCTGTCTAAACCAGAATCTTCTGTGAAAAACCTTAACCCAACAAAAATCTTGTGTAGCTCATGCCCTGCTCTTAAGAATTCTGTCCCTTGTTGTTAAAAAACAAAAACAAAAAAAAAAAACACTTTTTTTTTTTAATCTAGTCACTGTTTACAGTTGTATGCTAACGCCTGAAATACTGTCTGTGCTGTGGTGTATGAGCATTGCCAATTTTATATTTATTGCAGTGAAGAAGAAACTAAAAATATATGAAAATGAGGAGCATGTCCACGCTCCTAAATCTGTGTGGGTGCATGTGGGAGAAGTGAGTCGGGGTCTCTTGAAAGGAGGCTTTTTGGAGTGGGGTCTCCCAGGCTTCTCCTTGGTGTTCCTGCTTGGGGATCACTGCTGCTAGCTGACTGGACCTCCCCAACAGAAGTTTGTGATTCTGCTTTGGCGAAGTTTCATTGACTAGTAGAACTCATTCTGTTTTAGTGCATATTTCAATATAAATGTAAACATTTCTCTCAAACTTGCTTATGTCTTTCTGTCTCCTTTATCAGAGTCTCTGGATTCCAATGGAGGGAAAAAAGGGATGCTTTTTTTTTTCACCTACCTTATCACAAGCACATTGGATACTTAGAACATCCTCCTTCTTTTCTGGGGAACTGAATATACTGAGCTGACTGTCATCACATCTCAGGGCTGTAGGAGGGAAGGATGGGGTGAGCAGTTACAAGGAATCCTAACTAGACACCTGGGGAAATTGTCAAAGGAAGTATTTCAGATTGGTTATGAGTATCTGTCAGTTAAAAAGAACGGATTCTTAAACTGTTAAACTGACCTCTTGGTCTTTTTTCCTAATTTCAATCTTTAGAATTTATTCACATTAAATTTGTAATTTCCACTGTTTCTCACTCTCTTCCTCACACTAATAATCATCAGTTTCCTTTTTTACACTTTAGAATATCTCTTTCTACTATTGCCCCAGCATGCACTTTGAGTGCTTCAAATTAATTGGACGGTTCTGAGTTCCTGTGCCATCTAGGGAGAAAGTCCTACTAATATTGGGGCATATTCATCCCCATTCTGCTCTTGGCTGAGAGGCCCAGGGAGGTATGGATGGTATCCATCTAAGGAGTCCTGTAATTTCGGTACCTGAGCTGGTACCCAGCTTTACCGGATTTGAACCCAGCTTTACCGGATTTCAGAGTCCTTGCCTTGCCACTACTCATTCCACCCGGGCTGTCTTTCTAGTTGTAGATACGTCCCTAGTTTCCTTCCTGCAGCCGGTATACTCCTCTTCTGTTCCGTCCTCCACACGGCCACACGATTATTAGAATTTAAAGTGCGTTACCTGGCCATCTTGCTTTCCACCTTAAAGCAGCAGTAGAATGAAATTGTGTGTATGGAGCCAGAATTTTTGGTGGTACACATGAAGGGGTTCAAAGACTGCTCGGCTGTTAACATGTCAGTAAGTTCAGACTGACAGGAAGACCCTTGGGGAAATGAAGTTTAAGATCTAAAGGAAACAGGAAAGTAAGTACATCAGATGGCAAAAAGATAACTAAAATAGAAAGGTACCAGCTTCCATATGCTGAGGCGTGGGGGCGGGGACCACAGGGGTAGACGAAAACGTGAGGGTTCATTCATACCAGAGACGCTGAGAAAGCACAGCTGTCTCCTTTGCAGCCACCCTTACCCAGGAGTCCGTAGTGTTTGTGCAGACAGGTCAGGCAGGTTGTATGCTGTAGACCATCTGATCTGAACTAGATGAATGGCGTCGGTGGCACCAGACTCATAATGCGATATGACCACAGAGTTCAGGACAGGAACCGGGAGCATGGACACAACTCTCACATAGCATCTTTGCCTCCCCAGTCTAAAATAGCCTGACCCAAGTATGGCCTCTTTATAGCAGTGAAACTAGAACGAGGGTCAGTTACTCAACTGGCCCATCAGGGCCTAACCTGATGACTAGCCACCAACCACACCAGCAATAATTAGAGCAAACTGATATGCCAGTAAAATGTTCCTTAGCTGCTGTAAGCTCCTCTGTTTTTTGTATCATCTTTATCACTCTTCACCGCAGTGATTGCTACTGGGTTAAACCGGTTTACTCCTGGAAGAGAATAGAATGTGGAGATACTAAGATGCTTTTGCTTTTCTAGTTGTCTTCCTCCCATATCTAATCATACCAGGTTCCTCTCTGCCCTCTCCTCCCCCAGAGGCTTTGCCTTTGTCAGCTGCTCACTGGTTCCCCTTCAGTCACAGAGCAGCAATGAAAGCCACCCAGGCCCTCTTAAGTGTAGCCAAACTACTAGCCCATGTGAACTTCACTGGCCAGGACGAGTGGGTAGGAGGGAAGGCTCCCTCACCAGCACCCACTTGGGGAAAAACTGGACGAAACCAGCAGGAGAGTCCCATCTCCTAATTTCCTCCAGTCATAGCAGGGGGATGAAATCTTCACTCGGCTACATATTTTTACATAGCCTTGAAGCAAAGGTCTTAGAGGTTTGATAAACACATAGTCTACTCTGGCCTGATTTTATGCTATTGATTTTACGATCTCAAAAAACATTGTACATACTGCTCAAGCTTTGACCTTCGTGACGCATCTGCAGCAAGCTCATCAATAACTACACATAGTCCAAGCCATTAGATAGAACATCCAATGCTTTCCATGACTTGACCCTCTTCAATTCATATCCTCCCACCCCTTTGAACCTTCACGCCAGTAGCACTGAACTTTGAGTCTGTGACTTTGTTCCAAGTTGAGACCCCTTGTCTGGAATGTGCTCCTATTCCTTTGCTAGGCTAGCTTCTGTTCATCTTGCTGGAGCCCCCTCAGGGACACCTCCTGGGGTGTTTTCTGATTTCCCTGATTTCCAGCTCTGGTTTGTACTAGATCTCTCGTCTCTGAGTTCCCATAATACCTTGTGTAAATCTTTTATCATTGCACTTACTCTGTATTATATGCTTACCTATTTGTCTACACTGTTAGATTATGAATTCTTAAGAACAGAGAATGTGTTTTAAGTATCTGTGTTCCCAGCACCTAGCTTAGTGACTAGTACAAACTAGACATTGAATAAAATGAATGAATGAACAGGAGATTGAGTGATTTGTTCATGGTCATCTAGCCGGTAACTGTCAGTACTGAAATTGGAATACAAATCTTTTGACTTCATTTCCTGTTCTTTCAATGATACCACACTGCTGCTTGTGAGGAACAATGCACATTATTAATAAGGACAAACAAAATTCACTTTTAAGGGGCCCCTGGGTGGCTCAGTCGTTAAGCGTCTGCCTTCAGCTCAGGTCATGATCCCAGGGTCCTGGGATCGAGCCCCACATCGGGCTCCCTGCTCAGCGGGAAGCCTGCTTCTCCCTCTCCCACTCCCCCTGCTTGTGCTCTCTCTCGCTCGCTGTGTCTCTCTCTGTCAAATAAATAAAATCTTAAAAAAAACCCACAAAATTCACTTTTAAAAACAAAAACAGATGCCATACATACCTATCACAAAAGTTTTCGACACATTTTCTGGAATTGTTTGATTGAAACTAGACAGAATTAATAAGATAGTTTTTATAGGAAAAGTAAAACCAAATGTATCGTGAATGAGAGAATCACCTTTGTGAAGGCTCCGGGGACCAGTGAGGTAACAGGAGATGCTATGGGAGGTGGCCTGTATGTGAGCCAGAGTGTAAAGAGAGGGGACCCTTTCTATTATTGAGAACTACATGGAATAAGGGTTGAATAGCTGCCATGTTATCTTTAGATAACAGCCAGAGAGGAGGAAAAGGTTCTTGAGTTGCATCTTCTGATTTCGTAGCTGGAGACCCAAGCCTTCTTGAGATAGGAGGATGGCTCATTTTTAATCAGTGATCTTTGGAGACAGATTTGAGTTGATCAATTGTTTATCTCCTTGTTTTCAGCAGCCTGATTGGCCAGCTTCATTTCCTGCAAAGCTCTGATGTTGATTCCAGCACATGGCCGCAGGGAACAGGATGCAAGGCCTGAATGTGTTGTTCACATTTCTCAGTCTGAATGGTGAAAGCCCAGGAGACAAAAAGTGGCTGATGGGTCTGTGGCAGAAAGTTTGCCCCCTTAGTCAAAACTGCTCTCCTTTGACTCCCCTCCTACTCGAGACAGTAGTTCAGGATGACGAATGCAGGCAAGCCCAGCTCCCCTGTGCTGCATTTAGGAGGTAAATGGACATAAGACATGACTCTTGAAGGGTCAGAAAGTTTAATTTGCCTACGATGCCCAGTGCAGGGGCTTACACAGAACTTTCTGACATAGAGTCCTTTTTCCATAGTTCCGTGAAGCCATGTGACAGGTTTGAGACCTGAGCCGCAAAATGATGGAGTATATACTCTGATTCCTAATCTGATATGCATCCCATTTTCATAGTCCTTGGAGAGATGACCAGACTCGAGGGCAGCCCTGAGAAAGAACAGCACTTGCAGGCTGAAGAGAAAGAAGGACTGTACAGTGCTCTTGCGCTGCGGCTGCTGGGCAATTCTGTTTGAGCTCTGCGTGTATACACTGAGATCCTTTTATGGTCGTGATAAAAACAGGGAACTTAAGTCCATTTCCTTTAGAGGGCTTGGTTGTGTAACTTTTTTTTTCTGGGTAAAAGTTACTTAGTTCTAAAGTCGGGTTTGATCCTGCCACCCACCCACAAGCACGGCCACTCTCTACCTCCTGTGGAAAGCTGGGAACCTCATCAGCTGCCTGGTTAATGGTCTTTTCTGCACTCAGGATCGGAAGGATGGCCCACAGGGAAATAGAAGGAAGTCATCTGAGCCTTGTGACCCACCCTGCCCTCATTGCCAGGGCTGGGGTTGGGCTTTTTACATAACATGGCAGATAATGCAGTAGCTGGACCAGCACAGAAAGCCCAGGGGGCTGCCCCCAGGCCTTGACATCTCCTCCTTTGCACTCACAAGTCTGGCTTTGAGACCCAGCACTGCCCTTCTTTTATGCTAACTGCTGTAGCCAACAAAAAGGCCTTCTCTCCTCAGCAGTGCCAGACCTGAGAAAGGACCTATTCATAACTGGGTTTTGCTGTTCCCTCCCTAGGGGGTGGGGCAGAAGGGCTGAGGAAAGTTCTGCAGACCTGAGAACTGCAAGAAAGTATGGGGCTGCCGCCCTCCTACCCTGTTTGAACACAGAGGGTGCTGAGGATTCAAAGGTTAAGCCCATGAGCCCTTGCAAAGGGGAAGGATCCTTTCTGGGTTTATTTAGATAGATTTCTCGAGAACTAAGATATTGCTAGGAGAAAGGGAGCAAACAAATATCAGCAGTCCCAGCCCCAGTTGTCTGGCCTCAAAGCAGTGGTTCTCAAAATGTATTGTGCATATCAAGCTTCTGGAGTGCTTGTAAAACCCAGATTCCTGGGCTACACCTCCAAAGACTGCAATTCAACAACTGTAAGTTGTGTCTGGATATGCATTTTTAACAGGCTGGGAAGGGGTGGGGGCACGTTTTGCCCCAAAGCCTAAGAGGCAGAGTTGGAATGCCCCCATTCTGGGCTTATTCAGTACAGTCCCCGGACCAACCAGCCTAGAGCTGAGACTGGTGATTCTCATAGCACCCAGGAAAGTTCCAGAAACCAGTTAAATTACATCAAGCTGAGTGGGGAGCTCAAACTCAGAGTGGGAGTATTTTCTTAGAGTTCCAGATTTACTGGCAAGGTGAGGAGGAGTTCACCATGAGAGAGAAAGTGGAGTTCACTTGGAATGTGGAAATCCTACATCGACTACCCAAACTGGGCTGCTGACTGCATGGGCTTATAATGAAAAATCTTCCTATTATCCTGAGGGTCCTCCAATTCAGGTTTGTCTAGACATGCTGGAGTCTAGTAAACTACTCACTCTACCTGTCTGTACAATGAGGGGTTGGTTGAGGAGTCTGCTAAGGTTCCCTTTGGTCTCACTTTCTAGGGTTCTCTAGAACCTGCAGCCTGCTTCTGATCTTCATCCTCAAGTATGACTGCTTGGGCAGGAGGCCAGGTCTAATTCTTGCAACACACCATTTGCCTAGTATAAATAGAACAGTACTTGCACATAGTAGGTGCCCATTAAATATTTATTGCAGAAATGAATAAATATAAGTGGCCATGAGATAAAATAGTCCTCATTGGAACAAAGCCCAGAGAATAAGGTAGGGGCAGGAGCTGTGGCTGCAGGAATCTTGGGAGCAAGAGAATTCTCACAAGCCTCTGGCCCAGGTGGCTTCATCCGGGTGTCTGCCAATTTCAGAGGTGGCCCTGTTATTCCTTTTCCTTTAAACATATCTAATTCGTCTTAAAAATCCATATGCATCGTAGAAAATTTATACATTTTTAAAAGGTATATAAAAATGTTTTGAAACCATCCACAGTCCAGTGATTTTTCTTCTCTTTTTGGTACTTTTCTGTACTTTTGGAATTAGAGGAAAATGATACATGCCATTTTTAAAATCATCTGTAATTCAAAGATTTCTCAACGCTTTCTATGCATGCCTACATATTTGGAAATATTTGTAAATATATAAATATATGTAATATTGTGACTCCTCTGCTGATATCTTCCTTAAAGTCTTAAGCCTCATTTTCAATGGCTTCATGATAATAGCACCTTTAACCACTCCCTCAGTATGGACATTTAGGCTGTTTCCTTTATGCTTTATATTACAAATATCGCAATAATAAGCACTACTGCCTACACATTTTTAATCTGTATTTCCTTAGGATAGAGTCCCAAAAGTGAAATTACTCTGTCAAAGAGTATAAAGCTCTTTAAACTTCTTGAAACACGGGACAAAATGTTTTGTAGAAAAGTTTTCATTGATTTATACTGAAAGTCACTATCTCAATGAACTTTTTAGCTGCCTCTGCAGAGAAGAGGAGAAAGCCCTGCAAGCTTCCAGGCCTCCCTGAAGCCTCGCGGCCGTTGCAGTACAAGGTGAGAGGACACAGGGGTTCCTTCTGTAGTTTTGCCTCAGCCATCCCTCCGCAGGGAAGGCGCCCGTCCTGTTTCCTGAGTTCTTCCTTTCTTAATGGCCCAAGGATGGAGGATGTTGGTGGTAAAGGCAGTGAGGGTGGAGGTGGATCCTTACGTTTGAGCAAAGAAGACTGTCAACAAGAATCCCACACTCGGAGATCCTTCACGGAGACATCTATCTATTCCAACCAAAGTGAGCTTCCAGAGATGGGTAGGATGACGAAAGAGGACTTGGTAGCAGGATAGGAGTTAGAGGCGGCTTCCAGCTGGAGGGCTGCGGCCCCTTTAAGGCCCAATCCGGGGCTTGGCCCTTTAAATCTGTGTCAGTTTCCCCTGACGTCAGCGGGCGGGCCGGCCGCCCTGCTGTTTACCGCCTCGCTGCCCCGCACAGTCCCGGGAGTTGGGAGACCCGGGGCCGCCGCGGCCGCCCGCCCTTAAAGGGCCCGCGCCCCCAGGAAACGCGCCGCGCCGCGCGGCGTCGGGTCGCTGCCACCTATCACTCTCCTCACCCTCAGACCCTCCTCCCTTCCCGGCCGCCCCCGCTGCCGGCTTCCGTCCCTCCCTTCCCTTTCCCCGGCGTCTCCAAGCTCCCAGCAACCAGCCGCCCCCTGGCTCTTACGGCCCCGGCCGGCGGCCGCGGGGTCTCCCGGCCGCGCTCTGCCCCTCGCAAGCTGGCCCGTACCCCACATCCTCCCCTCCCTCTCCCGCCGCCCCTCCCCGCCAGGCCCCCTAGGAGCGTCTCTGCGGCTCCCGGGAGGGGACGTTTCCTGATCTCAGGCCGGGGTTAAAGTTCTGGTCCTGGTGAGATGCTGGAAGCTGCGGCCAGAGCCGCAACCCGTCCCAGAGGTGTCCTGTCGCCTGTCACCGTCCCCGCCACCACCGCTGCCGCCGCCACTGCCGCCTTGCCGGGGCCATGTTCTCTCTGGGCTTGCCCTTCTTGGCGCTCTTGGTGGCCTCGGTCGAGAGCCATCTGGGGGTTCTGGGGCCCAAGAACGTCTCGCAGAAAGACGCCGAGTTTGAGCGCACCTACATGGATGAGGTCAACAGCGAGCTGGTCAACATCTACACCTTCAACCACACTGTGACCCGAAACCGGGTGAGGGCTGGGCTGCGCTGGGCTGGGGGTTGGTGGTGAGTGGGTGAGCAGACCAGGGCTCCGCGAGTCGTCAATCCTCTGCTCTTTTAGGAGGCCCATGAACGCGACACCCCACCGGGTTTCCTTTTCCCAGAACCACACTGGACTCTCTTAACTAGTCCTCCTTGCTTTGCCACCAGCGTTTCTCTGAAGCTCCCACTGGACAGTTTCTAAAGTTGTCTCCTTCCCATCTTCTCTTTGACCCCCTCCTTTCCACCAGCTGTGGTCTGAGCAGGGCTGGTCCAACACCCCAAATTTGACAGCCCCACCCGTCCGGGTGCAGGGGGAAGCGGGCTAGCCACTGGGGTTGGCCCAGAAAACCCCAAGGAGATGAGACAGGCTGACTGAAAGGCTCTGCCCAGCCAAGTTATAGCTGAGCCTCCCCAGGGAGATGAATGCAGGCCTTCCCAGCTCTCTTTCTGCCTTAGAAAGCCAGCTGGCCTTGTAAGTGGAAGGTGGTGGAGATAAGACCAACTCCCAAGTGGGATGGGAGGAGAGAGGAAGTTTGTGTCCAATGGGGAATCTACCTCACCCTGACTTTCTCTTTCATTTTTTCCCCAGCCACGAGTTAAATGTGATTGTAGCTAGATCTAGGAAGTCTAGACCCTGGGCAGAGCTGAGATTTGGAGAATTCTTGCAGCCTGACTCTGTGGTCTCTTGCCTAACACTCTCCATGATGGGATTTACTAAGAAGTGGTAGAGCTGATAGTGGCAGTCTGATTATTTTTCAGGATGGGGCGGGATCTGCCTTCTGTGGCAGGCCAGGATCTGCCTTCAGTGCCTGTTTCTCTGAAGTTTGATGTCCTCCTGCTTGGAGTCCTTTCTTCCTTCTCCCCCATAACTGGGGTCATCCTGAGAGTTATGGTCTTCTACCCCTCGGGGAAACATTGCCCTAGGGCTTGGGTCTCAGCAACCCAATAACAGGCATTACCAGGACTGACTGACTGATTGATTTTCTTAAGCTCCCCCTGTTCTGTGTATGTTCCTCCATGTACCAAGACTGAGAGTGTCTGCATTTTACGGAGGAGGATGTCAAGGCTCAGAAGTGTGAAGTGACTTCTCCACAGCTCTAGCCCTTGGTCAGAGCTAAGGATAGAACTTGGCTTTCTTAGCTTTCCACAGTCTCTTTCCCCACCTCCCCACTGGCTCTGGCCTCCAGATTAGTTGTTGAATGGGGGCTTCCTGGCTCACAAGGAAGAAAATTGAGGAACACTTTTGCTCTCCTGTGTCCCCCTGTCCCTGTGCGTGGATATCCCAAGAACATGGATAGGTATGGGGTATCCTGCGGAGGTCCAAGGTCTCCGTTGTGTTTCCTGTTGGGAAGTGAGGCCCTGTAGTTGCATGGGTCCCATTGTCCTGCACATACCTGCCAGCCAGGACGGGGCCTCTTCTAAGAGCTTCTCCTCTAACTCAGGGCAAATCCCTCCTGGAGACTGGGGCTGTTCTGGCGGAAGCAGGGGCATAGCTTGCTGCCCAGCCTGACTGGGGGGGGGGGGTTGGGGGGAGAACAAAGCTGTCAGCATGACGGAGGGCAGGGCTCAGTCTCTGGAGCCATGTGTCCCAAGGAGCCGAGGTGGAGTCACTACAGGCTTGACTGAGGGGTGTTTCCATGTCATTCTGCAGACAGAAGGTGTGCGTGTGTCTGTGAATGTCCTGAACAAGCAGAAGGGGGCTCCTTTGCTGTTTGTGGTCCGCCAGAAGGAAGCTGTGGTGTCCTTCCAGGTGCCCCTAATCCTGCGAGGGCTGTGAGTAGGACCTGGGGGTCAGGGAGGGGGGTAGGCCTCGGCCAGGCCAGGCCCAGAGCCTCACCCAGGGCCTTATCCAGGGCCTCAGGCCACCCAGGAGGCCCTCTGTTTCTCTTCCCCGTTCCCTGAACCAAGGGGCTGCTCAGTGGCCAAGCCTGCCAACTTGGAGCTTGTCAGCCTAGCTGGGTTAGGAGTAGGGAAAGCTGGAAACCAGAGTGGGGGAGTTGGGGCCTTGCTCCTGTGGCGTGGCTTGCTGGCTGGGCTAGTAGTAACGTCCTGGCTTTCTGCTTTGGGCTATAGGTATCAGCGGAAGTACCTCTACCAAAAGGTGGAGCGAACGCTGTGCCAGCCTCCCACCAAGAACGAGTCTGAGGTCCAGTTCTTCTACGTGGATGTGTCCACCCTGTCACTGGTCAACACCACCTACCAGCTCCGGGTCAGCCGGATGGACGACTTTGTGCTCAGGTGTGCAAGGGCAATGCCAGGGGACCACGGGCCTGGCCTCCTTGCCAAGCTCAGTGAGTGACCGTGTTGGGGGGGGGGCTCTTCTCCCTCCAGGACTGGGGAGCAGTTTAGCTTCAATACCACAGCAGCCCAGCCCCAGGTAAGATCTGTCTGGCAACAGGCCGTCAGCAGGAGAAGTGGGGACACGCGAGCGGGAGTGGGTGGCAGACCCTGCTGGGAATCCCAGGTCGGCTGTCCCCTCGCCATGGAAGGACTCTGGCCCTGGGGTGGTCAGGGGACAGGCCACGTGGGACTTGCAGAGGCATGGGGTCTGGCCGCCACCTCTCCTCCTTGCCTCTTGGGACACTATCCTGAGTGCCCACCTGAGGTTGAGGGGAGTGATGTAATAGGGCTGCTTAGGGTCAGGGTCCTTCTCCCCAGAGAGCTTCCACTGCCCAACCCTGAGAGGATATACACTGTTCCCTTCTAGAGGGACAGAGAGAGCATCCTCATGAGATGGGGCTCTCCCTGCCCTCCTGTGCCCTCAGTACTTCAAGTATGAGTTCCCGGAGGGAGTGGACTCGGTGATTGTCAAGGTGACCTCCAACAAGGCCTTCCCCTGCTCAGTCATCTCCATCCAGGATGTCCTGGTAAGTTGCCTGCCCTTTTTTGCTCTCCACCAGCGGGTAGCAGGGCTGCTAAAGAGGGGGCCCAGGGCCCAGGTTCCTGCCCATTCGCTTCTCCCCTCTTCCCTCTGTAGTGCCCTGTCTATGACCTAGACAACAACGTAGCCTTCATCGGCATGTACCAGACTATGACCAAGAAGGCTGCCATCACTGTGCAGGTAGGAAATGCGCATGGCCCTATGGGAGATGTAGCCAGGTGCTGAGCTTTCCAGACCCTTGCTCCTTCACCCGTACCCCATTTCTACCCTACTGATAAGACTGAGTCTTGGCCTGCCAGTCCCTGAGGTTTGGGGCTCTGCAATTAATGTGAGGGTTGAATCATCATCCCAATCACCTTGGGGTTAGGAAAGAGCAGAGTGCCTTTTCCGGCCGTCACATCTGTTTCAGTTGCTGTAATGATATAGCTAACGGGAGGGGGGGCGCCTGGGGGGCTCAGTCCATTAAGCGTCTGCCTTCAGCTCAGGTCATGATCCCGGGGTCCTGGGATCGAGCCCCGCATCAGGCTCCCTGCTCAGCGGGGAGCCTGCTTCTCCCTCTGCCTGCCATTCCCCCTGCTTGAGCTCTCTCTCTGTGTCAAATAAATAAGTAAAATCTTTAAAAAAAAAAGAGAGAGAGGGAAAAGGGCCCTGGCTGATGCTGAGTGTTGCCCTTGGCGAAGGCTAAAACCTGTGCTGGGGGCAGGGAGGGTGAAGCCATATGTTCACTTCACAACATGTGAGTTGCAACTTAGGAGGCAGTAGGGGCCCCTCCACTTTTTCTTCTGGCTGATGCCCAGACCGTAATGGGGCACCCATGGATTCCACGATGGTAGGTCATACACACATTTGCTCACCTGGCTAGAGGATAGGGTCATGATTTGGGCTCTAGAGCCAGTTAACTCTACCACTCACTGGCAGTGTAACCCTAAGACCTAATAGGCGTAATGATAGTACTTATTTTGTAGGAATCTTAGTGAGGGCTGAGTAAAATTATGTATGTATTTTGTTGATCGATTTTGATGATGATTGATGGTGATGACGGTTTTATCATCATCATCATCATCATCATCATCATCATCATCATCATCATCCTGCAGCGCAAAGACTTCCCCAGCAATAGCTTTTACGTGGTGGTGGTGGTGAAGACCGAAGACCAGGCCTGTGGGGGCTCCTTGCCTTTCTACCCCTTTGTAGAAGGTACATGGTGTGCCCTGGCCTGGCCCGGGTGGGGAGGGCTCGGTCGCTCGGGAAGTAGAAGAACCTGTGTGGCTGATGCGGGGGTCTGCCGGGTTTGGGGTTTTGGCCCTGGACTCTCCCAGGCCTGGTCCTACAAACTTTAGCCAAGCTCCAGGCGGTTACTTGTTTGACATTTTGCTTCCAGATGAACCGGTTGATCAAGGGCACCGCCAGAAAACCCTGTCCGTGGTGGTATCTCGAGCAGTCACGTGTGAGTGTGGGTGGCTGAGTGGCTGTTCCTCTCAGACCTGGGGGAGGGGGAGGGAGACCTACACGGCCAGTCCTGGAAGGGGGAGTGTTCTTGGCAGCCTTCACGATGGGTGGACCCAGAGGTGGGTCCCAGGGTGATGTGGTAGAGTCGGAGACTAACAATTGATGTACTGAGTTCCTGTTCTCTCTCCACCCCTTGTGGGCAGTGCAATCTCACTGAGCCTCAGTTTCCCTGTCTCTATCGTGGTGGGTAATAGGATCTGTCCCGGTGGTCTTACCAAGTTGTGAGGTTTAGCACAAAATTAGCAGGAAAGTATTAGGCCCCTTAGTCATGCTCGATAAATATTGACTGAGTGATTGGATGGAGCCCTTTGTAAACTGGAAAATATAAGATAAAAATAAGGGATTGTAATGGGAGGGGAAAGAAGCTGCCTCTCTTGTATGGATTCTTCATTCAACAAATATTTATCGAGCACCTTCTGTGTGCCAGGTGTTATGCTCTGGCTGAGTCCTCTGACTTGCAGAGTTCTGAGAGCTATGAAGGGCAAAGGACAGGTCACTGGGACCACAGGACAGAGCAGCTTTCCTAGAGGACACAATGCCCCCCCTCGGCCCCCAAGCTGTGTTTGGAAGGAAGCTGTGTTTGAAAACAGGATGGAGTTTTTGAGGAAGAGGGAGAGGAGAAAATTCTAGTAGAGGGAGCAACAGCAGGAGTGAAGGCAGGAATCATGTCAGAGTTTGGCATATTTGGGGACCTGCCTGTTGCTCACCCCGCCAGGTCACTGAGGGAAGAGGTGGGGGGAGCTGTGGCTGGGCCCTTGTCTGCCGTGTCGAGCGGTCTTGGAAGGTCTGATGTGCTCATCTCCCTCCCTCCCCTGACAGCTGAGGCCTATGTTGGCGGTATGCTCTTTTGCCTGGGCATATTTCTCTCCTTCTATCTGTTGACTATCCTCTTGGCCTGTTGGGAGAATTGGAGGTAAAGCGGGGCTGCCGGGCGTCCCCCTTTACTGGGGTGGGTCGAGCAGGGGAGCTGGCCTGGCAGGATCTGAGCCAGTCCAGGGTCGCGCTCTGCACCATCATGGGGCATAGGAAGGGGGGTCCTAACTTTTAGGGTCGGTGGTCCATGGGCCTCTCCTCTGGAAACCAACCCCTGCCCTCAACCTCCTACCCAAGCAGGGAAACCCCACATTGCTTCCCAGCCTGGGAGGAACCTTAAGATCACAGTTGGGAAGACTGGGTTATGGGGTGGAGAGGGTGGACGGCAGGCCGGCCCAGCACTGGAGGGGCCCTCGGCCTGCCCCTCTGGTTTGCCTCTGGATTCTGTTCCCGCAGGCAGAGGAAGAAGACGCTTCTGGTGGCCATGGACCGAGCCTGCCCAGAAAGCGGTACCTCCGGAGGGCCTGGGCAGGGAGGGCAGAGTTTGCTCTGTGCTTTGCTGGATGGATCCCTTGGGGGCTGGAGGAGGAAAGGCCAGCTGGGGGCTTCTGGATATTCAGACTGGGAATAACAGTCTACAAACTGAGCCACCCAGGCGCCCCAGGAGACCTATTCATACGGATGAAATCATATGTCTAGAATTCACTCCAAAATAACAAGGTGGGGGGTACAGAAACACATCCACATGGAAATGCTCATGACAGATGGAAATGGGGCTGGGCTGTTGTATCCCTGTGACCCTAACGTGCCCACCTTAACGCCGCCACTCGATTCATTCTCTGGGTCTGGCTACACTGTCGGTCCGCCTCAGGCGATGTAGCTCACCATCTGGGCAATTATTAACTTTTCATTCTCTCTCCTTTTCTTCCACCCTTCCCTCTCTATCCTCCTTCCTGCTTGGGACCTTCTCTCTCAGCTTCTCTCCTTGGTAAGCTCCAGGTGCTGTGGGCAGAGGAGCTGAGGTCCAGAATGGGGGAGGGAGCGGACCCACTGGGGTGTCTGGGTGGGACCTGAGCCGGCCACTCGCTCTCCTAGCTGGCCATTTAGACCCATCGATTCCTTGACCTCTCTCTCTCTCCCCCCACCCCGCACCCCATAGCGAGGGCAAAGGATGGCCAGGGTTTCCACGGGGACACAGTGGGAGGTTGGGGCAGCTTTTGGACGTGGGAGCGAGGTGTGTTTGGTGTTTGTCAGGATAGGTGCTTATTCTTTGCTGCTGCTGTGGCCCCTCCGTGTCTCTCTGGAGTCTTCCTTCTCTCTTCTCCTTGGCTTTTGGCCCCTCTCTGTTTCCAGAGCTGAGGGGACCTCGATTTCTCCTTGCAGGTCACCCTCGGGTGCTCGCCGACTCCTTCCCTGGCAGCTCCCCATATGAGGGCTACAACTATGGCTCCTTCGGTACGTGTCAACGCCAGAGATTGTCCTTGCCCATTAACAACCCGGGCTCCTTGGGCTTCCCCCTCCAAGGTGGCAGAGTGGCAGCGGGCCCCTCCCGACCCCAGCGTCCCCTTGCCCTCCCACCGGCCTCACCACGTCCCGTGTGCCCCGCAGAGAACAGCTCCGGGTCCACAGATGGCCTGGTCGATAGCACGGGCACGGGAGACCTCTCCTACGGTTACCAGGGTGAGTGAGCCAGGCGGGGCTGAGCAGGCTGGGTGAAGCGTGGTGAAGAGCCCCGGCCCCTTCTGGCAGGCGCTGGCGCCGGGAGAGGGGCTGCTGTCTCCCTGCCCCTCTCCTCTCTCCGCCTTTCCTCCTTGGCCCCACTTCCCGGTAACTTTCCCTTTCCTTTGAAGGGCACGACCAGTTCAAGCGGCGCCTCCCCTTTGGCCAGATGCGGCAGCTGTGCATTGCCATGGGTAGATGTGGGGTGGGGGGGCGCTGCTCCGCCAGTCACCTCCTGCCAGGGGGCCAGAGAGACGCTTTGTGCATGGCTTCCCCATCTAATGCCAATAATTGCCCGCTCTTGTGTCTTGTGAGAGAAGCAGGCACTGGCCTTGATGCTGGTGGGCTGGCACCCCAACTGCCGCCAGGCCAGATGTTGTGGTTTGCTGCCAAACCCTCACTCCCTGGCCTGCCGGGGTAGGGCCCATGGGCAGGGGTGTCATGTCCTGGCCTCTGGGGGCTTCGGTCAGGCACGGTCACAGGAAGCTTCTGAAGGCACCAGAAAAGAACAGGAGCAGGTGCTCTTCCTAGAGGCAGCCTGTCACCCTTGCCTGCGTCCCAGAGCCCACTGGGTCTCTACCCAGTGGGGGCCAAGGCAGTGTCCTCTCAGAACCCACACAGCTGGGCACCTAATCAGCATGACTTCTGCCGAATTCAGTCCTGTTGCTTGTGTCTGGGGCCCGAGGTCTGCTCAGGGTCCTGGCCTGGAAGTCCTACTTCAGTTTGGTGGCCACCTGTTTGGCGGCCTCTTCCCAGAACCCACCCTTGTTCCCCTCAAGGACTTAGGAGCACCCAATACCTTTGCCCTGGGCCTGAGCCCACCTCCACCCCTGCTCTGAGCCCACAGTTTGCCTCTTCCCACTGCCCAGTAATTGTGACAATTGCCCCAGGTGGGTGGGGACAGACCTTGGGCTCTGTGCCAACTGGTTAACTCTTCCCTCCTGCCCACCCCAGATCGCTCCCTAGACCCTGTGGGCACTCGGCCTCGCCTGGACTCCATGAGCTCTGTGGAGGAGGATGACTACGACACATTGACTGACATCGATTCGGACAAGAATGTCATTCGCACCAAGGTCCGATGCCATGCGGGCTGGCCCTGGCCATGGGTTTCCCAAGGAAGGGAGATTCTGTGTTCAGGCCCCAGCACATCTCCCTCTGGGGTGACATCTTAGGGGAACAAAGGGAAAGAGCTCAACTGGGGCAGGATCGATTCCAGGGGAAGCCGACTCTGCTCCCAGCCCTTCCAGACTAATCGGCCAGCAGCAACGGGGTGGCCTTCAGCCATGCCCTGCAGAATTATGGCCTGTGGGAGGGGTGGGGGGACTTCTCATGTCCTCCTCTAACCTGGGCAAGAGGGGCTTCTCCCAGTCACCCGGGCGGTGGGAAAGCGTGGCTCACTCCAGCTTCTCCCTAGCAATACCTCTACGTGGCCGACCTGGCACGCAAGGACAAACGTGTCCTTCGGAAAAAGTACCAGATCTACTTCTGGTGAGTGGGCCGCGGGGGCCGGGCTTCCTGTTACTGGCAGGGTGGTGTGGCAGCGGCGTCTCGGGTCCTGCCTCCTCACCGCCGCCCTCCCACTCCGCAGGAACATTGCCACCATCGCTGTCTTCTATGCACTTCCTGTGGTGCAGCTGGTGATCACGTACCAGACGGTGAGCGGCTCCCCTGGGCCCGTACGGAGCACCCTCGCCCAGTGTCCCAGCTTGGGGCTCTGGCATGCGTACAGGTCATAGGTCACAGGACCTGGGTTCAGATCCTAAGTCTGCCTCATGGGCTGGGTGACGTGAGCTCCCTGAGCACCAGTGTTCTCATCTGCAAAATGGGGCAGCACAGTAACAGTGATGGCACCTTCCCCAGCTTGTCACAGGGCTTAATGCAACTAGGCTCATGGGACTTGGTAGGTCTCAGTTTCCCTTCCCTTTTCTCTGTGCTGTGAGGCAAGACCCTCTGTCACGGTCATGCCCCATGATCTTGGGCTCCACCTAGTGCGGGGCGGGGGGGTGCGGGGGGCAGTGACTGTGTCAGAGAGGGCTGGCCCGGCACACGGATATGCCCGCGAGCCGCTTATGCGGCACCGTGTCGTCCTGCTGCGTGGGACTGTGTGGTGTGGCCCGGGCTCGGACCTGGCTCCCTCTCGCCTGGGCTCTGGGCCGAGTCAGGTGCTTTAGTAGCCCCTCCCGCTCCCCTGCAGGTGGTGAATGTCACCGGGAATCAGGACATCTGCTACTACAACTTCCTCTGTGCCCACCCGCTGGGCAACCTCAGGTGGGGATCGTTGGGGCTGAGCTAGGGTACCGGGAGTAGGGGCCGGCGCTCTGCCCAGGTCTGCCCCAGGTGGGGAAGAGGCCAGAGTATGGGGCCAAGGCCAAGTGCCCCCTGTCGCCCCTTCCAGCGCCTTCAACAACATCCTGAGCAACCTGGGGTACATCCTGCTGGGGCTTCTCTTCCTGCTCATCATCCTGCAGCGGGAGATCAACCACAACCGGGCCCTGTTGCGCAACGACCTCCACGCCCTGGTGAGAGAGCACCTGCCGCTGAGGCCGTGGCTCCAGGCCTTTCTGCAGGCCGGCCCCGCCCGGCCCTGCCCTGCCCTGCCCACATGCCACTCCATTCCTCTCTCCGCTCGCCCTCCCTTCCGTCCGGCCCTTTCTCCCGCGCCCCCCGCCCCCGCTCCCTCCTGCTTCACCTCCTCTTTCCCTTCACTTCTCCCCAACAGGAATGTGGGATCCCAAAACACTTCGGCCTGTTCTATGCCATGGGCACAGCACTGATGATGGAGGGGCTGCTCAGTGCCTGCTATCATGTCTGCCCCAACTACACCAACTTCCAGTTTGGTGAGTGGGGCCTCCCTCTTCCCTGGCTGCACCGAGAGCAGGGCCCTGCCTGAGGTCCTCCGCCATTCCCAAGTCACCGGCAGGGATCCCCAGCACTCAGCCCTGTGGGAGACTCCGGAGCTGGGCTTCCTGTGGGCACACATGTCCTAGTTTATAGAAAAGAGGCAGCTCGGTGCTGCCGCACTCATTTGTTGAGTGTGTTCTATGGAAAGGCCCGGATAAACACCGAGAAAACAATCATAATTGAGCTGTGGTCCCTGACCTCAAGGTGCTCAGACTAAGTTGCCCTCGTTGTCAGGGGAGGTCAGGCTGGGTGCCGGCCAGCAGGGCAGCAGTGTGGGGTCCTAGAGACACTCACGGGACTGGAGTTCAAATGTCAGCCCGCCAGCAGCTCCCTCTGTGGCCACGAGAAGGTGTGGGGGCTCTCTCCGCCACCCGGATTCTTTGGGCTGGGAGCTCCCTGCTGAAGTTTGGCGGATGCGTTCGTAGCTCACGTTCCTGTCCCCAACCCAGACACATCGTTCATGTACATGATTGCCGGCCTGTGCATGCTGAAGCTCTACCAGAAGCGGCACCCGGACATCAACGCGAGTGCCTACAGCGCCTACGCCTGCCTGGCCGTGGTCATCTTCCTCTCCGTGCTGGGCGTGGTGAGGCCCTGGCCCGCGGCGCCCCCTGCTCCGAGCCCGGCTCCTCGGGAGGAAGGGCGGGCTGGGGGAGCGGCTCTCCTCGGCGCCTCCTCAGCCCTGCCTACGGCCCCCCCCAGGTGTTCGGCAAAGGGAACACGGCGTTCTGGGTTGTCTTCTCAGTCATCCACATCATCGCCACCCTGCTCCTCAGCACCCAGCTGTATTACATGGGCCGCTGGAAGCTGGGTGAGCGCATGCCCGGGGCAGGGCGTGGGGGGGGGGGGCAGCTGGGCCCCACGGGATGAGGGGTCGGTGGCCTCGGGGACCTGGACTCACTGCCGACTTTGGGTTCTGCCCTCTGGCTGGGGGACCTGGAAGAATCACTGAGTGAGGAATTAGATGAGGGTTGGCATAGCCGTGCCCTCCGAAGGCCTGGGCTTCTCTCTGCTGGCGCGGGCCAGGGGCTGGGGAAAGAGGGGTGCCCGTCAGCACGTTCCCTTCTTACAGACTCGGGGATCTGCCGCCGCATCCTCCACGTGCTCTACACAGACTGCATCCGGCAGTGCAGCGGGCCCCTCTACGTGGTACCAGCCCAGCTCCCCAAGCCCTCCTCCTCCATCTGCTCTTTTCCCTCTGGTGGGGGGGGGGGTTGCCGCTGAGAGCCCAGGGGAGGGTGGGGACCGGCTGACTTGGGCCTTCTTCCACTTTTCTCCCTGTCTCTCTTCCCCCTCTCAGTCCCCGTGTCTCTGCTTCCCTCCAGGACCGCATGGTGCTGCTGGTTATGGGCAACATTATCAACTGGTCACTGTGAGTCTGGCCATTGTCTGGTAGCCTGGCTGGGTGGATGGACAGCTGGGGACTGGGCCAGCCACTGGCTGCCTCGGGGGCCACGGACAAATTCTAAGCTTTGGGCATGAGAAATGGGGGCTCAGGAGAGAAATGTTGGCACCGGGGTTGTAGAATTTCTGTGGGCCTCTGAACCCAACCTCACATCATAATAAAATGTGGGGTAGGGGTGAGGGAGAGCCCCTTTCTCGCTCTTGGCCCTCCCCTGCTTCACCAGCTCTTCCCCCTTTGCCAGAGCTGCCTATGGGCTCATCATGCGCCCCAATGATTTTGCCTCCTACTTGTTGGCCATTGGCATCTGCAACCTGCTTCTGTACTTCGCCTTCTACATTATTATGAAGGTGAGTGGGGGGTGCTGAGCCTCCTCCGCCAGGTGCCCTGCCTTTGCAGGATGGAGCTGGGCACAGCCTGCTTCAGGGTAGCGTTGAGAGGGCGTGGGAATTTTTCCTTCATCTCTACCGATGAGGTCTAAGGAGGGGAGAGGCCAAAGTCTCTTGCATGTACTCCAGCTGTATCCAGAGACCCTTGCCTACTCCAGGAATGGCCCTGCAGGTGGGAAGAGCCCCATGCAGTGCAGAGGGCTTTGAGCTGGGGCTCACCAGGTCTGCAGAGGCGGGGGCCTCCGACAGCCGGGCGCTTTGCAGGGACCCTTCTGCCTTCCAGTAGTGAGAGGAGCCTCTGCACAAGGAGAGCCCCCTGGCCAGTGCACCCTGCCAGCATGGGGCTCTGTGCACATGGAGGCCTAGCCAGGGTGGACATTAGGGGTGAGGACACCAGGCTGCTGGTGTGGGACAAGGTAACTGTAGCTATTCGAGGTAAGGGTGTGAATCTAGGAAGGCTTCCTGAAGGGTCCATCCTGTATGCTGAGAAGTGGCACGGAGGGCAGGCAGGGAAACAGGCTGGGCCAGGGTCTGGCCCTCAGGCTGTTTTTCCCTCCCCGCCCAGCTCCGCAGTGGGGAACGGATCAAGCTCATCCCCCTGCTCTGCATTGTCTGCACCTCCGTGGTGTGGGGCTTTGCACTCTTCTTCTTCTTCCAGGGACTCAGCACCTGGCAGGTGAGTGGTGACCCCGCTGAGAGGGTGGGGAGTGGCCCACAGGCTCATTGTGAGCCGACGAACAGCCACTTCTCTTCACAGACACCGTTGGTGAGCACTAACCATGCTCTCACAGCCGCCTTCCCGCTTCACCCTCCTGACACTCGACGGGCCAGCATGGGGGCTTCCCCCATTTTACCTATGAGGCAGCTGAGGTTCAGAGAGGCCAAGGGACCTGCCCAGGGGCAGAGCCCGCAAGTGGCACGGCTGGGGTTTGAAACCAGAAGTACCAGGCTCTCCCCTCTGCCTCATAGGCACCTGCCATGAATCACGTTTCGATTCTGTGATCAGAACCAAGTCTGGCTGGGTGTCTGCCTTTGAAGTACTTATAATCTAGTTCAGGAGAGAGAGGGAGAGACCATCAGTTCCTGGACTGCTCTTTGCAGTATGCTACACAAGGCGAAGCATATAGACAAGACAGGAAGGGGGAATGGACGCGAGGACAGGGGACAGAGTTAGGAGGTCCAGGAAAGCTCCCTGGTGGAGGCAGACCTTGCTCATGGCCTTAAAGGTCTTGGGTGATGAGAAAGGGCCCTGTGGCCCAGCGATGCTGTGACCGGAGTCGTGACCCAGAGGCAGAACTAGACGAGGCAGATTCGGGGTCAGCGAGAGCAGGAATTTGGGAACTGAGTCAGACTGTGAACTCCCGAGGGCAGGACAGTCACTGTCATCTCGGCATTTGGCACAGACGGCCCCAGACACAGTGCTGTCCGGTTGGTGTTGGTTGGATAGGGTTATGGGGGAGCAGGGAGGTCCCTGAGCAGCCTTAGGTCGTGGCCCACAGTCATGGCTCCTGTTGTCCTTGGGCGGGGAGGGGGGGTGACCCGGCTGCAACGCTCTGGAGAACAAGTGAGCCTGCAGGTGCTGAGTCCAAGGCAGGGACCCGAGGTAGGAGGCTTCCGAGGTCTTCTAGCGTCTCGAGGTGACTCGCCCCGCCGCTCGGATACAGGGCAGAAGAATCGGAGGGAGGAGGGTCTAAGGGAAAGGAAAGGGCAGAAGCCAGCATCCTCCGGGAGAAATCTGCAACAAAGAGCCGATTCTCAGATGTGGGAGACAGGGCAAGGGTGAGTCAGAAGGAGGGTGCGCGTGCCTGGCGCCGCAGCAGGGCAGACACAGGGAGCTGCGGGCCGGGTCTGGTCCCGGTTGGGTGGGCAGCGTCCCAGGTGGCTCCCCCCGTTGTCCCTCCCCAGAAAACGCCCGCGGAATCACGGGAGCACAACCGCGACTGCATCCTCCTGGACTTCTTCGATGACCACGACATCTGGCACTTCCTGTCCTCCATTGCCATGTTTGGGTCATTCCTGGTCCGTGAGGCTGCCCTGCCCCGGCACGGGGGTGGGGTAGAGGCCCAGGTTGCAGGGCGGCCTGCGCCTGACTCGGCGTCCACCCCCACCCCCAGGTGTTGCTGACGCTGGACGATGACCTGGACACCGTGCAGCGGGACAAGATCTACGTCTTCTAGCAGGAGCCAGGCCCCTTGCTTTCCTCACGGGGGCCCCCCGAGCTTCTCTGCCTCAGGGCCCGGAGCCTCTGTAGCTCTGGGGGTGTGAGTCCCCGCCCTGCGGCCCAGTGTGGGTGGTGGCGGGACAGCCAGGTCTAGCCCACGCTTGGCCTGGGACAGTCGTGGCAGGGGCCATGAGCCCTGCATCTGCCCTCTGCCAGGGAGGAGGCCCGTTCCCCTAAAGCCCCAGATGTTGGCCACTGGCTTCTGCTTCTCAGTGTTGAGGGCCTCTCACGGGCCCTGTCCGTTGGCTCTCCCATCTGTCCCTCTGCAGGAGGAAGGAGGGAAGTGGTGTTGCCCTGCCCATCTCATCTCTTCTGCCCGTCCTTCCCTTCCCCAGGAGCCTGCGACCCCAAGCCCTTTCTTCCTTCTTCCCAAGCTCCAATCCAGGGCCTGGTTGGGCCTGATTCTCTGTCCTGCGCCAGGGCCCCACTGCCTTTGGGGCTGTCCCTGACTGCCATCACTGCCCGTTCCAGTCGGGATGAACGGGGGTGTAGGATTTTGGAGGCTGGCCAGGTGGTGCCAGGCTTTTGGTGCTAAGGCCTAAGAGGGGCTGCAGGCAGTGCAGCCTCCCCGCTCTGACCTGTGCTTGGGACTGGCTCTGTAGTAGTAAGGGTCAGTCCACGTGAGAGTCGCCTTGATCTGAGGGGCTGAATTCAGAGGTCACCTTCCTATCCCGTCGGCCCCCAGACTGATGTTGGCACCAGGATTGGAGGGAGAGATCAATTCCCCCCTTCCCTTCCTTTTTCTTTCCAACCCTCCGTCCTGCCAAGCCCCAGTTGGGGGCCTTCCAGTGCCATTGACACTGCCCAAGAATGTCCAGGGGCAAAGGAGGGGTATATGAGGCGCCCAGCCTCTCCTGCCTCCTCACAGCCGTGGGAGCCCCAGTGCCTATCTTAGAAGGAGGCTCAGGAAGGGACACGACACTCCCCTCCGTGTCCCTGGTCCAGCCTCACTCTAGGACCCAGGGCTGGCTTCTGTGTTTCCGTCCTGTCTTCGGCCAAGTTTTGTGTTAGTCACACACACGTATATGTAGGAAACTCTGGAGTTTACACTGAGTTGCCCCAGCTCTGGGCCCCTAGCTGCTCTGGTACTTCGATCCCCATCACCCTACCTGGTCCGTTCCAGATGCCAAGACTGGGGGAGGCCAGGTCGGGCCTCTGCCTCGGGGATGGGAGTGTGTTTTATTCTGCCCAACTTGTTTTTATAGCTCTCCCTGGGGCTGGGGAGAGGAGGTGGATCTGGATCTTTTTTCAGAACTCCGTTTAATGTTTCCAGGCTGTGGTTGCATTTCTGTTTTCTATGAATGAGTCTGCATTCAATTAAAGAAACAGCCAGACGCGGTTCTCGGGCCCCTGTTTGCTCCCCCGTTCTGGGTGGAGGTGTTGAGAAGCAAGGGTGGGACAGAGGCCCTCCATTTCCCAGCTCTTCTGGTCTGCCCTTCTCTTTTCAAAAAAAGAGTCTCCCTTGTTTTCTCCATGTGTCCTCAAGTACCCCGTGTCTCTCCTCCCCTTTGAGCAACTGCATCAGCTCAGGAAACATGTACCAGGGGCCTGCTCCGTGCCAGGCACCTGTTGGGCAGTGAAGATGGTGGGGTGAAGAAGTCTTCGCGCCGTCGCGCCCCCCCCTTACCTGGCAAATGGCGCAGAGCCTCTGCCCACCTGGCCCCTCACCTGCAAGTCAGGCCGACTTCCCTTCTGGCCTGAGCCTCTCCCAGGCTGGCCGGCCGCAAGTGCGGCCAGTGCTCCCTGATGTGACTTTAATGGCCAGGAGAATGCAGGCCGAGGCGGGGCTGGTTCTCCGGGGACCCAAGATGGAGATTGTATGGTGGCTAAAGGCGCATGCGTGGAGGGCAGGCGGGCTCCCAGAAGAGGGAATTTGGAAACGACCCTAGGAAGTTGATTTCGGTTCCAACAGGCCTAGGAGGCCAAGATTTGGGGGACCAGAAAGCTGGTGAATTCAGACCTAAGGAGAGGGGCGCTGCCCTCTAGCTAATCCCCCCCGCCTCTTTCCCTGCACTTCCCAGCAAACACCACTAGGGAGCACTCCAGCTCTGCGTCGCTGGGCTCTGGCGTTAGGAGGCTGGCTGTGGTAGGCGTCCCCTCCGCCGCCCACTGCCCAGTGCCAAGCTCAGCTGCCCCTCTCCTGGAGGGTGTCCAGGGTGTGGTGGAGAGTGTTAGCTCCTCCCTGCCAGGCCGCCCTAGGGAAAGGGGTGGGGTGCCCTCACAGTGGGCAGCCCAAGAGAGCCCACTGGTAGGCTCACCTCCTTCGGGTACCCTTTCCCCAGACCCCTGAGGCCAGGTGCAAGCCACATAATCAGTGGGTCTCCTTCCGGGAGTGATGAAGCCCAGTCTGTTCTCTAGGGTAGGTAGGGACTGTTCCACAGGGAGGGAGGGAGGATAGCAGCCTCTGAGCCTCCCGCCCAGTATTGGTGTCTCAGCCCTGCCAGGCCTTAGAAACCGCCTGGATAGGGGCCAGGGTCGACTGAGCTGCCGCTGAGCCCCCAGATTCCACCCGCAGCTAAAGCAGGGGACTCAAGACCCACCCCCACCGAAAGCTCTCAACCTGAGGAGGGTGGGACGACTGAAGGAGTGGGTCCGCCAGCCAGTCCCCTCCCACACGGGGGCCAGCGGGGACACCCAGCTTCCGCCACTCTTGCGCCTCCCCCCAACCCCCCGCAACGTGGCCTTGAGCTTACTCAGGCACTCTGAGCCTGTTTCTTTATCTGAAAATGAGGTTAGTAATTATGCTCCCACGATACAGCCCTGAGGATTAAATGAGAGCATTTGCAAAGCATTTGCCTGGCATGTCATAGGTTCTCAGTAAAGGTTAGCTCCTACTCCAAGGAGAGTGAAACCCCCAGGACAGGGTGGCTAGTTGGTCCACCACCAGCCTCAGGGATGGATCTCCGCAGCTCTTTCCCCCGCTCTCTGGCCAGACCCTTTTGAATTTCCCCTGCCCTCAAACTCGGGGGCAGGGAGCAGTGAAGAAGGAGCAGCTCTAAGTCCAGAGAGCAGGGAAGGCCTTCATGGTCCTGTCCATAAAAGGCTTTTCCCCGGCAGCTTCCCGCCCGGGCAGCTCAGCTCCGCCCCGCCCGCTCCATCTCCAAAGCACGCAGAGAATGTCTCGGGCAGCCCCCGGCAGACTGCTCCAACTTGGTGTCTTTCCCCAAATATGGAGCCTGTGTGGAGTCACTGGGGGGGCCGGGGGTGGGGAACAGGCTGGGTTCTTCTAGCAGGGAGGGGGCCGAGGGGTGAGCCAGCGGGGGAGGCTGACATCACCACGGCAGCAGGCCTTTAAACCCCCCACTCAGCCAGCGCCCCATCCTGTCTGTCCAAGTTCAGACACGGAGAGCTCCTTCCCTCCTGCGAGCCCTGAGGAACCCCTGTAAGTGCATGTATCCCCGGGTTGGAGGGAAGGTAGGCTAGGGCTTGACGGTAGCAGTGGGTATACTGGGGACAGGGCCCTCAGAGGTCCTGGTCTCCACCTCCTCGGCTGGAGAAGGCCACCCTCTCCATCAGCGTGCATTCCTGATCTCCAGATGGGGAAGTGGTCCTACTTGATGGGGGGGGGGCGGTGAGGTTACTAGAATCCCATATTGCTTGGACTGGGCAGCCTCAGGCTGGTTGAAATGTTTAGGGTGACTTGGCTGATGCAGAGGGATTGATGGTGAAGACCCTGACGACAGGGGTGTGAGGGGGACTCCCCGCATTCAGCCCTTGTCATGCCTATGGGGTCTGTGATGGGCTCAAGGTGTCGGGTTAGACACAAGGCTCTGTTTGGTGTCCATCTAGGAGGCTGTACAAGGAGGCGAGGAGGTGTGTGAATACACCGGTGCTGGAGAGCAGGGACCTGCGGGCGGGTACCCAGGGCCTGAGCAGCAAAGGAGAAGCCCCAGGGAGCCACTGAGGCAGCGGGGAGGTCCACAGGCAGGTGTGGCAGGGTGTGGGGACCTGCATGAGAGCCGCCTTTCTGGACACACGGCTCCTTCCATCCCCTGAAAATGGGAAGTGACCCCACTGCAGAGAGAGGGGTGAGGGGCGGGCCCTGCAGGAGCTTTGCAGTGTTGGTCTGAGTGGGCCTGGGGCCCTGGGCCCTTCCCGAAGGGTCTGGCTGCTTCCCCCTCAGTGGTTGCTCTCCAAAGGGTAGCAGTGAATAGGGCCGCTTTTCTCTGTCCCTAGAATTGAGGTGAGCCCACCCTCCTGCCCTGTCACAGATCCACAGATGCTCGCTCCTATTTGCTGTGTCTTCTTTCGAAGAGAGAGGGGGCCCAGTGGTCCTGGAGAGACCCCTGGTTCTGCTGGTTGTTGTGGGGTCCTGTGGTAGCAGGTGCACGCTGCCCCTTTGCAGCTGGACTTTATTCTTTCTCTCGGGGGAGGGGAAGCTGACAGGAGCCACAGGCAGGAGGATCAACGCGCGGCCAGGCTGTTCTGCCTGTCCTGTCCCGGGAGGCTTTATCCGGAAAGGCCTCTGGGTGGCTGGCCGGCAACCCTCTCCCTCTCCCTTTCCTCTTCCCAGCAGCATCAAGGTGGGACTGGGGAGGGCTTGGTCAGAGGACTGAGAGGGATTTCTCGAATTCTCCACTTTCAGACTCTTCACCAGGAGGGAGAAGGGTGGGGGTGGGGTGCCTTTCATCCCCCTCCCTGTTCTGATCAAAATCCAAATATTGTCTCTAGAACTAGGGGCTGCAACTTTGTGTCCCTGTCACCGTGAGCCTGGATGCCTTCACTGTCTGCTCTGAATCTCCTAGACTGAACGCCGCTGGGGGCGGCGGGGGAGCGGGCCCTCTGCGTCCGTCCTGTTCCTCGCAGGCCCAGCCCACTCCCTGGGAGGGAGGGCAGATGGGAGGACAGGTGGGGTGGAGAGTACCAGGAGGACAGGCTTGTGGAAGGTGGTGGGTGCCTGGACCCCCGGGATGCCCGCTGCCTGCCTGGGCTGGGGGGGTGAAGGCTGAGCCGGGGCCGGGGCCGAAGTCGCCCGGTCCCAGCGGACTTGTGGGTTTTGACCACTAGTCTCTGCCCCCCCGGTGGTTGGGAGGCGGGGAAGCCGGTGTGAGACACACGGCAGGGTGCGGAAGGAAGGGGCTGGGCTGTTCATAGGGAAACAGAGCAGACTGCTTTTGGATTCTCCAGGGTCAGCTGGAGGGGGTGATGGTGGTGCTCAAAGGTGGCCCAGCCCTCTGGGGCTTTACAAATCCGAGAGTAGTGAGTTGCCCAATAGCTGGAATTTAGATGAATCCATCTCGCGTTCTTTGTCTCAAGCTTTGCTGTCCCCTCAGGGGATGCCTTGGGAAAGGAGTGGAGGGCAGCTGGGAAGAATGCTGTTTCAGGCCCTGGGTGAGGGGCTGGCTCCCCCAGGTCATAGCAGGAGGCGATGCTGGGAGGGAGTTCCAGACAGTGCCTGGGTGAAGGCACAGCTCTCTGAGATGGATCACATCCTCCTCGGTGCCGATGGGGAACTCGAATGCAGAGAGTTGTCAGCTGTGGGGGAAGGAAGGGTAGGGCAGCTGACCGGGGACCGTGGCAAGTGAGGACGCTCACTCTGCTTTCCACGGTGGTGAGTGGGGAGAGGGTCTGATTGTGGCAAGAGAGGGAGTCGGGTAGCGTGCGGACTACCCCCATCCTCAGACCACTCTCTCCCTCCCAACCTCTGACCTCTCCGAGGCCAGGTGACGGGTCTGGCCTCATCTGGTGCCTTTCTCGGAGGGCTTTCCCGGGGAGCTCTGGGCACCACCCCCGGTGACACCTGGAGCTCTCCCGAGCAGTGCCAGCCCCAGGCCTTCAGGACAGCAGCTGCTGCTGGTCTGCACAGGGAGGGGCTCCCCATGTTCTGGCTGGCAGATTCTTGGCTCTGGGATGTCCCCCGAGAACTCTGGCCCTTCGGTTACTCAGCTACTAGAGTGGCGGGAGCCTGGGGCACAAGGGAAAATCCATGGGTCTAGCAGTTCTTTCTCTCCTGGCCCACCTGAGGAAGTGCAGCTTCTTGGCCAAAGGCTCGTGGGTTTTGCTGGCTTCCTAGACCTTGCCGGGGGTGGATAAGTGTGAGCCTCTTCGGCAGCTGCAGGCCAGAGGCCGGGCTGACCTGGCAAAGAGCTGGGTTTTGGAGTTCCAGCTTTGGGGCTAGAGGATAAAGTGGGGTGAGAAGTAAGGGAACTCTGTAACTTAAGGCAGAACCCACAAACCACCTCACGCCTACCTGGAAAAGAAACCTGCTGCTTTATTTTGGCGCCTGGGGAGGGGGGCAGTGCGGTCTCCTCTGGAAGGCATCTCCGGTGCCTCTGTGGCCAATCTTGGCAAAGAAAGAATGCTCTAGACCAGCGTTTGTTGTCAAACTCTGGCCCATACGCTAAACGCAGCCTGCTGCTTGTTTGTGTCAATAAAGTTTTATCGGATCAAAGCCATGCTCACTTGTTTACGTACTGTCTAAGGCTGCTTTCATGCTACAATGGCAGAGACCATATGTCCAGCCAAGCCTAAAATACCTACTACTCTCTGGTTGTTTACAAAAGTAAGTTTACTGATCCTTGCTCTAGACTTCTAAAGATCTGGTCTCCCGTTTCTCGTCCCTAAGTTCAGGGAGGCTCCCTGGACGGAGGGGATGATGGGCAGTGCCATGAAAACCAAATGAGGAAACCAGGGGAGGTAAATAAATATCTAAGACGGATGGGCACCCCCCCGGCCCCCTAGAAGCTCCAAGGCCTGCCTAGCACAAGTGAGAGCAGAGCTGGTTCTCTGATCCTCTGACCTTCTCCCTTCTCTGGCCGGTGCTGCTTTAGCTCTCCCACAGCATGGCCAACAAGGGTCCTTCCTACGGCATGAGCCGCGAAGTACAATCCAAAATTGAGAAGAAGTATGACGAGGACCTGGAGGAGCGGCTCGTGGAGTGGATCATAGTGCAGTGTGGCCCCGATGTGGGGCGCCCGGACCGCGGGCGCCTGGGCTTCCAGGTCTGGCTGAAGAATGGCATGGTGAGTGGCACTTCACGGAAGTGAAAGGGGGCTGGAGCTTCACCACCCTGCTGGGCCTGTGGGGCAGGCACCCCGAGCTGAGTGCCAAGCTGCATTCTCTGCCTGGCAGATTCTGAGCAAGCTGGTGAACAGCCTGTACCCTGATGGCTCCAAGCCAGTGAAGGTGCCCGAGAACCCTCCTTCCATGGTCTTCAAGCAGATGGAGCAGGTGGCTCAGTTCCTGAAGGCAGCTGAGGACTACGGGGTCACCAAGACTGACATGTTCCAGACTGTTGACCTCTTTGAAGGTACAGAGAGAGGAGGGGCGGAGGAGGCAGGTGGAGGACAGGCAGCTAAGGCAGAGAGGACAAGGGATGACCCAAGCATGCCACGACAACAGGTCTGGAGAGCGGGCATGCCAACCATACTCAAGGGCATCCTGGGATCTACCGCAGCCTCCTTAGCCCCCCGGGTTGGCCAGTTTTCGGAGAGGCGGGGCAGGCCCTGCCATGGAGTCCCGTGTACGTGGTCCTGAAGGTCACCCCCCATCCCTTTTTCTTCTCCCAGGTAAAGATCTGGCAGCGGTGCAGAGGACCCTGATGGCCCTGGGCAGCTTGGCGGTGACCAAGAATGATGGGTACTACCGTGGAGACCCCAACTGGTTTATGAAGTACGTGGCCACCAGGGGTTCCTTGTGCACTAAGCTTGTGTCTTTGCGTGAGATGGGGGGTGGCCTGGGCTAACCGTTAAGCCAAGGGAGGTGGGGCAGCAGAATGGGAAGGTACAAAGTGAAGGTCTAGGCGAGGGGCAAGATGGGTCCCTGCTGCTTGCCAGTGTCCCTGGCCCGGCGGGCAAGCTAGGTGAAGGAAGCAAGAGAAGCATGGGATGAGGCTAGGAAGTGACGGAGAAAACAGAACCCCGGGGGGAAATGTGCAGTCCCAGTGAGTCTTTATCCTGGTTTCCCCGCTTCTAGGAAAGCCCAGGAGCATAAGAGGGAGTTCACAGAGAGCCAACTGCAGGAGGGCAAGCATGTCATTGGCCTACAGATGGGCAGCAACAGAGGGGCCTCCCAGGCTGGCATGACAGGCTACGGACGACCTCGGCAGATCATCAGCTAGAGGGAGAGGGCCAGCCCCCGGCCCTGCCCTTCCCCAGCTCGTCGGCCGCAGCTCTCCTGCCTAGCCAGCCTCACCCACACCTGTGTAGTTCCTTCAGCCCCGGCCAAGCTTCGAGGCTCCGTCACTGAGCAAAGGTGACCGCACTTGGGCAGCTGTCCCCACCCCTCAGCCTCAGCCCAACTTCTGACCCCAAAGCACCACTCCCCTAACCCTCCTCCCAGCTCCCCTACCGTCTCCCACCGTCTTTCCCCATCCTGGGCCGGGCAGGGGCGGGGCACGTGGGCCGGGGGTAGCTGGGCAGGGGGCAAGTCCACCATCCTCCTTGGCAGCAGATGCCCATTGAAGAAAACCCAGCCCAACCTCCCCCCATTTTTTTGCTGGAATATTTTGGGGGTTGAAATTCAGAAAAGAAACAAATATATACATCAATCTTTTCTCAGGCCTGGCTGGCAGAGTTTGATTTGCCCTAGTCACTTCTGGTTGCAGGAGGTATGAGCAGGCAAGAGGCAGGGAACATTTACGGGTGTTCCTGGCCGCCAGCTGTGAAGGACCCCTCGAATTCTAGGATCCCAGGGGGGGTCAGCTTCCTTCAGAGGCCCAGGCAGAGGGAGGAGGAGAGTGGATCTCAGGAACCGGGGACCGAAGGCCAAGGGGAGCGACTTGGCAACTTTCATGAGCTCTGGGAGGCAAATGAAAGGGGATGGGGAGCAGCAGAGTTGCGTGGAAGGTTTTTATTTTGGAAAAGCTGTGCAGAAAAACATTCAACCAAATGTTGCCGTGAAAAGAGAAACCCAAATCTTAAGCGTTAAAAAAAAATTTTTTTTAGATCAACGAACTAGCTCAGAACAGGGGAGGAGGCCCAGGCCGGGAGGAGTCCCAGCCAGTCAGGCAGACGGCTGGCCTCCAGCGGGTAAGGCCATTTCCCTGAGCGCTTTGCAGAGGAAGACAGGGTGGTCGCAGGGCTGGAGTGGCAGTGGCTGACCCCTGTCATAGTCCTGCTGCAGACCCACCTAGTGAAGCTGCGCAGGCCCCGGGGAGCCGCGCCCATCCGCGGCTTTGCCAGGAGCATCGTACCGATCCTTCAGGATGGAGGGTGGGCGGCGATGGTGAAGGAGTCAGGGGTGTGTTCACGGTTGGCTTCTGATCAGGGCTCAGGGAGGCAGCTGCTCTCAGGGCGGGTGTGCTAGGCTGAGGGCTAACTGCCGTACCAGTAGGTCTGAGGTTCCAGGCGGAGGCAGAAACGGGCGGGAGGGAGAGGAAAAGCCTGCAGTTTCTAGGTCCTGGGTCATTAACAGGACAGGCGAATATCCACGGGCTCTTCCCAGCCTTCACCCCGAGCCCTCTTCCCGAGGGACCCTGGTGATGTTTCTGTGGAAAGGCTCTTCTGGCCATAGCAGGCCCTGCCCCACCCTGTCCCTGTGACCCACATCACCAGCTTGCCCAGGAGAAATGAGGAGGCAGACCCGCCCAATTGTGGGGGGCGGGGGGGCCGAGCCCTTGTCCAAGACCTTCTCACCAGAAGCTCCTGTTCAGTCGGAGGAAGATCCAGTGGCGTGGCCACACTATTCTCCGGCACAATTCCTCTGTCGCGGCACCTTAAGGCCTTCGCCCTTCCTGAGCGTAGTCAGAGGGTGCTCTTTCGGCCTGTGGATTCCTGATGTTAGCATCAGGGCTGCCTTCTCCCCAGAGCTCCCGGGCCTTCGGAGCAGCCTTCCAGGCTTCCCCGGCTTTGGGAAGGAAGAACCCATCCCATGTCGAGCCTGTTGGGCCTTGCGTCAGCAAATCTGCTCCTCTTTCCCCTGCAACAGGTCTGGGGCTAGGTGATGATGAGGGCAGTTCAGGGTACTCCTGTCCTGGGACAGGCCCCAGTCCCCTCGATCCAGCAGGTCTGGGGCAAGGAGATCAGAGGTGGTGGGAGGGCCCTCACTTTCTGTCTCCACTCCATCTGGATCCTTGCTGTTGTAAAGTGGCGCCGATTCTAGTTCTGTCCCCTCCTCCCTGGCTTTTTGGCTTCGTTGGGGCCAGTGGCAGGGTCCATTCCTACAAACTCGGTGAGAGGCCACATTCCTCTGGCTCAGGTATATTTCCAGCATGTAGTAAAGGGTCCAGAAGATGGTAAAACTGCCCACCAGCACCAGAGTCTGGGGAAAAGTCAAGCACCCAAGTTAGGGATGGATTCCCAAAGCCTGTGGCTTTTCTCAACCCAGAACAATGAGCTCAGAAAGTCTGTCGCCTTCCAGGGACTGCCTCTCCCACCCCAAAGCACTCGCCTCCCCCACCCAAGGAGCGCCCTCTCAGAGCTAGCTAGTCGAGTGGGGACCCGGCCAGCTCCTCCGAACCCCCCACTTCTCAAGTCACCTGGAGCACCCCAGCAAGGACTAAATCCCCCAGGACACTCCTGCCCACCCACCCGCCTGGAGCTGGAGGCTGGGCCCTCGCACCTTGAGGGTGTTAGGGGTGATGGTGTAACCATCCTCCTCAGGGATTTTCAGCCCCGGAGGGCAGGGCAGAGTGAAACCATCATGCAGGTATTTTCCACTCATGGCACTTTCTAACAACCTGTGGAGAACAAGAGATGAGGACGCCCTCCTGAGCTTGGTTCCCCGACCCCTTCCCCTCACGGTTCTCCCACCTCACAGCTGGAGAGGGAGGATGCCCCACAGCAAGAAGGGGCGGGCGTGCTGCAGGTTCCCAGGGAGGTGGAGCTCCCTACGTGGCCTCTTCGGGCCCCGGGAGCTGCCCCCCCCCCACCCCCCGCACCTGCACCTGGCACCCACCTCTGCCTGTCCCTGATGTCCACTGGACTCCACACAGAGCCGTAGAGGGTCAGCTGCCACTGCCGGAGGGTCCCAGCCCGGAGCAGCTCGTCTCCTAGAGCAGCAAGTGGGGCAGTCCATGAGCCCTGCCCCTCCGCAGCCATGCAAACAGCCCCGCCCGCCCCGCCACCTGGGGGCACTCGACCGCAGGCTCTGTCTGCCGTGGTAGTGGTCTGTGTCCCGCGGCCCAAGGGGTTCTGCAGATGTGCCTCGCGGGGGGGGGGGGACCCCTCAGGGATGGAGACGGGGAGGCTGAAAGGTGTGACTCTGAAGCGAAGACTTTCTGCCTTTCTCTCTTTCATATTTTAGGGTTTCAGCTGGGATTTTGCTTGGAAAAAAAAATGTCCTTCTACTAAATTAAAGAAAGGTTTGAAAACCAGCAGTCTAGTGAATACCTAACTTGGCTGGAAGCCAGGAGAGTTGGGTTCGGTTCCCAGTCTCCTCACTGGAATATTGTATGACCTTGCACCAGTCACTTCAGACCTCTGGGTGGGCCTCAGTTTAAAAAAAAAACAACAACAACAAAAAACAGAAAACAAAAACAAAAAATGGTGAAAATTAGTCCTGCCCTTACCTGCCTACCAGGGCTGGTCGAAGGATGGTTATATGTGAAAGGACTTGAAATGTGGTTTCAACAAGGAATTTTTGTTGCTATCCTGAGGAAAAATGGATCAGTCACTTCTCCAAGGAATATGAAAGGTAGTATCAATGAACAATTTTAGATTTCAGTGCCCATATTTTAGATGGGATGTATTTCTTGGCATCTACCCTGTCGGTCCAATGGCAACCCTATGTCTCCTCCATGGGATGGTTTCTGCGGGGACTCTGAGCTCCAGAGGGACCAGACGGAAGGGCAGGCAGGCTTACCTACATCCCTGATCACGAGTCTGTAAGTCCCCTTCGCTCTTTCCCCCCAGCACCGCACAGTGGAGAAGGTCCAATCATTGAAGCCACTGGGATCTCTGGGGGAGAAGAAAAGAGTAGAAAACCCGGAAGGCGTGGGGCAGGAAACTGACCCTTTGCCCACGAACATGATTTCCTAACTGTAGTAGCCATCAAAGCATAGCCGTTGTGGCCCGAGCTGCAGCCACTGGGGACCGTGCTACGAGGGGTCCCCAAGCGCTGTCCCTTCCCCGGGGATCCCATGAGATGAAGGACTCGTGTCAGCATGGCCTAGTGGGAAAAGCAAATGTGGAGAGAGCGCAGGCCGGGGAGCTCGAGAGATCTAGGCTCAGTGTAACTTCCTCAGGCACTTACTAGCTCTGTGACTTGTTTCCTCTTTTGTAAAAGGAGGGTCAAGTCTCCTCTGCATCGTTCTTGTAAGGATTAGAGAAAGTAAAGTGCAGTGCTTAGCACGTTGTAAGGGACTTCTACAAAGCAGGGAGAAAATGGCTTCCCGCTGCCCCGGCCAGCCAGTGCCAGGACAGCTGAGGACGTGCCGGCGCCCACTTTCCCTCTATCCTTTCCTCGCAAAGGCCCTCGTTGCCCAAAAAAGCTCAGAAGGCACGGGCAGGCATACGTACGAGTCCATGCTGCGGGGGGCGCCGATAAGGGACATCATGCCACTGGGGCAAAACAGTTTCAGTTCCAAGCTGCCGCGTCGTGGATGAGTGATGGAGACGGTCACTGCCACATGCTCTAGCGTCTTCAGCCCCGACATCTCCAGATCCGTCCTGCTGACTGTGGGGGGTCAGGCTGGGCAGCTGGGAAACCAGCCCCATCGACACTTACGCCCTCACTTCATCCCAACACACACAAAGGCACATACTCACTGAACCACAAACACACACCTAACGCAGCCCTAACTGGGACCCAGTGCGCGCGAGTAAACGGGATGTCATGGCTGCTTTCAAGGGGCTGACAGGCTAGTTTAGAGTCTCATTGGAAAGATCACGTATTCAAGACACAATTTAAGAACCGAACAGAGCAGCTTCCACCATCATTCATTCAAAAAAAGAGTTTACTGAGTACCTCCCACATTTCAGGCACTGTACTAGATGCTGGCGTAGAAAGGTAAGTGGGACATGATCCCTGCCTTCTGCCTGCCAGTGGAGAATGAGAGGGTGTGAGGAGTACATAACTGGTGCCAGAACAGACAGGGTATAGGCACAGGGCAGGGAGAGCGGCGCAGAAGGAGCTGAACGCAGACCAGGAGAGCGCTGGTCGGCAGCGGCACGTTCCAGGAGCGGAGACAGTCCAAATGTGGCTGGGGAACGAGCGTGTTTCATACAGAAGGCAGTACAAACTTCTAAAAAACTACTCAAGTGAATACACTTGGAGGAAATGATGCTGAATGAAAAGAAGCCCACCTCACAAGGACACACAGAGCGTGACTTCCATTGTGTAATACTCATGGACGACACAAGCGTGGAGACGGATGCCAAATGAGTGGCTGTCAGGCACGCGGGATGGGGCCGAGGGTGTGGGCCCGGCCGCAGAGGGGTGACACGATGGGAGTCTAGTGAGGCTGGGGTGCTCTGGATCTCGGCTGTAGTGCTGGATACACGAGGCTGCACGTGTGGTAAACCTACAGGGAGCCCCGCCCCCACCCGGAGACACACACACACACACACACACACTTGTACAAATAGGAGTGTGTGTCTGGCCGGTGAGATCTGAATATGCTTTAGCAATGTCCTTGTACTGGTTTTGGTACTGGACTGGAATTGTTTCAGACATTCACACGGGGAGAAGGGTGAATGAAACTCCCCTGAGCACTGCTTTGCAGTTCCCTGCGAATCTACAGTTATTTCAAAACAAAGTTTAAGAAAAACACAAACAACTGAAGGGCAAGACTCAATTGGGGAATATTAAAAAATTAGGTGGCAAGGAGAAACGATTCTTTCTAAAGCACTTCCTCCATGGATCCATTCCGACAGGCGAGGCGGAGACCAGCACCCCCACCTTCCAGGGAGAGCATGCACAGCGAGGATGGGAGAGGAAGAGCAAAGGCAAGAGTCTGTGACACCACCTTCTGTCCCTCCCAGGCCCCGAGCCCGCTGGCCTCCTGCTCAGCCCCCCTCCGCTGCGCTCACCACCGAAGCGCCCTGGCCCCCACTCGGCGCTCAGGTGCTCCAGGGGCTGCTGTCCCGCGTTGTCGTGACCTCATACTGTCCACCTCCTGGGTCCACCCCACGGCCGCACCCACTTCCACGACCACACCCCAGGCCTTGTCCTTATCGGGACTGCCTCACTTCCGGTTTAGAAACTCTCATTGTGGGTTTCATCAGATAAGCAATGCAAATTAACTGACGGCCAATCAGAAGAGTAGCTGAGCAAAAATGACAACAGATAAGCCCCCCCAGTTCTTGATAACATGTTGGGAAATAACGATCTAGACCTCTCTCTGGGCACAGATGTGTGCGCGGGTGAATGGCCTTTCATTCCAACTGGCAAGTCTTCAAAGCCAATGTCCCACCTTCTCTGAAAACAAGGACATCCCGTCTCTCCGCGTTCCCCACTCCCTTCTTGATCCCTTCCCTCACTTCCTTGCGCGCCATCCAGCTCCTCTTTTCCTAGCGTCTAAGATCCAGCAGCTCAGCTCTCCAACACCCTCTTGTTTACTCTCCCAGGCTCCTTTGTTTTCCTTTCCTTTCACAGTAACTGGTTGGCAAGAGTCCAACACCGGACCAGCCCCATTAGCCATCTTCTTGGCTGGATCTTCTTATTTATGTCTTTCTTACTACAGATGAAAAACAAAAACAAATAAACCCTTTCTCAACTCTTCACTTTCTTCTGCCCACCGGTGTGAAGAATGTGGGCTCTGGAGCCATCCAGACTGAGTTCAAATCCCAGTCAGCCCTGTCCTAGCTCGGAGAATTGATTCCTTATCTAGAAAACTTGGATAGTAACAGTACCTACTTCGTAGGGTTGATAGCAGGATTATATTAGTTCGTACACATAAAGTACTTAGCACAGTACCGAGTATTAAGACCATGTAAGTATCAGATATTACGACTTTTCCTTTACTGGTAAACTTCTTGGAAAAGATGTCTACATTCACTATCTCTACTTCTTACCCTCCCATTCATTCTTAACATTTTTTTCCTGTCAAGACAGTCTACATGGTTTTAAAAGTAAAAGAACAATTTCCTACCCCATTCCTCACCATCTTCGTGAGCCACTCCCCAGGAGCAAACACTTCTTACTGCTTTTGGTTGTTTCCTTCTGGGATCTACCTTCATGTTTCCAAATAATAGGCATGTGTGACTATTTCATGGTTTATCAGTTTTAGACATTATTTATCGACTTCTAGTTACAGCAGATGAGGATTTTAACACCACACCCAGACCTTCTTCCTACACTGCCCTCCCCTCCATCCTCTCAAAATAATTACATCACCATTTTTAGTTAATCTTTTGTTTCCTTACTATGACCCTATAAATATCATATGGAATTTAGCCAAGTAGTATATAATGATTATATTTCATTTTCTGAACAATTTGCTGATGTCCCCTCTGGCGTTAATAATTGCCCTGTTTCTTGGTTAATTTATTACAACTCATGTCCCCCATATTACTCATTCTTCCCAAACTGCATAACCTCTCTGAATACTATTTCTCTAAATGGACAAACAGATCAGAAGCTCCCTCAGTGCCACCTTCCCCGGAGACTCCGCCTCTGCCTCCCTGTCTCCTGTTCCTGTCCGCTGCCCGCCCTGCCGCTGGTGGGTTGGGACGTTGGGACGTTCCTCTCCTGCCTTGGGCTCGTCTCCTCTCTGTCCGCACTCCCTCTTCCTCCCCACCCTCTCCTTCCCTCGGCTTACCCTTCCTTGTAGAACAGCTGCCTCGCCCAGCAGTTTCAGACAATGCCTGAAAGGGTCCTGATTCTACTTTCCCACGTATCCCTCCCCATACTTATCCCATATCCCAGGGTAATCAGTTCGGCTGAGTTTTAGCGACTGAAAACAATCATCCTCAGGATTTGGAGGTTTTTTGTTTTTTTTTTTCAAATGGCTAGTGATCCCTATTAGCCTGAAAAAAATTTTTTTTCCAGGGCGCCTGGGTGGCTCAGATGGTTAAGCATCTGCCTTCGGCTCAGGTCATGATCCCAGGGTCCTGGGATCGAGCCCCGCCTCGGGCTCCCTGCTCTGCGGGAAGCCTGCTTCTCCCTCTCCCACTCCCCCTGCTTGTGTTCCCTCTCTCGCTGTGTCGCTCTCTGTCAAATAAATAAATAAAATCTTTAAAAAAATTTTTTTTTCCCCAATTGCCAGTGATCCCTATTAGCTTAGAGCCAGTTGGAAGCTCTAAGCATGGGTGGAGTTTTATACTGGTAGGCTTCCCTAAAGTTGGTGGACCTGGCACCTGACTGGTTCATGGAGGAGCCCTCCGTATCCGTATCTCCAAGTCTTTCGATGAGGGTTCCTGCCATTGCTCCGGAAAGGAGCCACCAATCTCCTGGCCGCCAGGGCCTTGGGATCTGGGCAGCTGGCTTGGAGGGGAGGGTCCCCCTCTCCCAGGACACTCCCTGTCCCTGGAGAATAAACTTCCCAACTCCTGCTGGCATAGGGAAGGGACATCACCTGGCTGCCAAGGATGGGAGAAGGTGCCCTGGCATCTACCTTTTCACCAATCCCTATTTTCCACCTCATACCTCATCTCTGTCTCCTGGAGCACATGAGACTTCCAAGTCCTGAGCCCACTGGCACTGTATGGCATGAAGGGGCTTGTTTCTTAGTATCATCCTTGCAGGCATTTGGTATGCAATTTTCTCAGCCCTGCTCACTTCTCCATTCATTTTTCATCTTCCAAAAATGTGAAGAAATCTCTCATCTGCTGAGGTCTCTCTCCCATTCTCTTTGTCCTTGTGCTTACACCATTTTTATTCCTTTATTCTTATTTTGGTGAGGTTTTGGGAGAAAGAGGAAATAAAAGAACATAATGATTTGCCATCTTCAACCAGAAATCTTCTCCTGCCTCCATGAATTATTCAGCTAGGTACGATGGAGCTTTTGCCCCTGTGAGTACCGCGAACAGTTCTCGAGGGCACCAGGGGCCTGTGCGGCAAACCCAGGGCTGCCCCTGCCTGCCCCCTCTCACTGACACGGCCCCAACTTCCCACGATACCAGCCTCCTGACTTCCTCCTACCCCCACCCCCACCGGCCCCCCCATCTCATCCCTCCTGTTTTCCTTCGGCAGCATCTTTCCTTGGCCCACAGCTTTCATGTAGTCTGTATCCCAGGTCCTTTTCCCCTTTGCCAGCCCACCAACCCTGGGGACCTCACTCTTCCCCAGGCCTTTTCTTCTCTTTTTACGCTGGTGACCGCCAAATCATTGCCACCAGTCTAGACCTTTGAACTTATTTCATCAACCACTTTCTGGATATAACCTTTAGATGTTGTCCCAAGAAGCTGCAAACAGCAGAGCCAAATTCCAGGCCTTGGTCCTTCATACTCCCCAGCCCTTGCCCAGATCTGTTCTTTGGCCTGGGTTTTCACCTCATTTGATGACAGTACTAACTAGACAGTTGCTCAAGCTCAAGAACTTACAAATCTTTTTATATACTAAAAAATATAAATGCTCGTATAAATATATTTATATATATTCATATATGTACATTCTTACTATAGAAAATTCCAGGCATACATAAAAAATAGAACAGATGTTCTCAACACCTAACTCCGATAATTATCAATATGTGGCCAATCTTGTTTCATCAATGGTCCCCACTTCTTCCCCTTCCCAGAGTGGTGTGAAGGCACCCCCAGGCACCCTGTTATCTTATCAGCGGAGACTGAGTCTATAGCTCCAAAAGACAAGGGACTGCTCTCCTTCACCCTTCCCTAGGGGCAATTGGTGACAACTTATCTGAAGGCTCCCCACACACAGACCTTCCAGGTCAGGTCCCCGCAGTTCTATCTGGCCTTGCCCCTCACACCCCTGCCCCAGACATACCACACGACTCGAGGCTCCCCGAAGCTCTGTCGACTCTGCATGTGTGGCCCCTGCTGTCTGGATGTCCCTCTCCTCCCTTCTTCCCCCAGCTCAGGTCAGTCCCTGGCTTCTCCGAGAGCCCTCCTGTCTTCCCTGGGTGAGAGCCGTCTCTTGACACCCGTGTCACAGCTACGGCGGATGGGCTGCCTTCCGCCTACCAGACTGTGAGCTCCTGAGGGCAGGAATCCTGTCTTATCTTATCTCTGAATCCCCAGAACTTAATACAGTGCCTGGAATGAGGTGGGTCTCGCATTAGCAGAAGGAATGAGTGAATCAATCGAGAGACATTTCGGAGAAATACGTGAGAGACTCCATTGCAGGGGAACGGACAGGGGAAGACCTGGGGAGAAGCAAGGGATACAGAGGGGCCGACAACTCCAGAGCTTCAAGCGTGCGAGTCGAGGGAATGGCAATGGCTCTGACGGAAACTGGGAGAAACCTGGAAAGCAAGCTGGCTTCTGAAGGGTGACAATGAAATCTGAAATGTTGTATATGTGACGGGCCGTGTGTTGGCGGGGTATACCCAACAGCGCACGGTGACGTAGGCGTAGAAAGCTGCAGGGGGACACCGGTGGCACGCTTGGAGGACAGCATCAACGTGGCAGACAAGGGGCTCACAGAGAGTTAATGCCATGTTCCAGAACATTATGGAATAGAAAGAAATCCAAAAGGAGGCCTGCGAGAGCCCATCTGTGTTAGGATGTGTGAGGGGGTATGCTACATGCCCTTCTTATTGGTGCGGACAGAGACTTAGGTGGCCGTGCATATGTGGACGCTAGAACCAAGTGAGTTACCACATTAAATGAAGGAATACTCAGAATAGTGCTTGGTTCATAAAAAGCATTCAAGTCATTTTGATGATGATCATCTTATTATTCTTATTTGGCCTTTGGTAAGTCAGGGTCTTTTTCGACTCTCACCCCTTGGCCGGAAGGTCCTGGGGCTTCCTTTGCTCGTGATGTTGTGGAAGCTACGACAATCTCTATCCCTCCCACTGGGGAGGGATCAGAGGAAGAGACTGCGAGCTACGAATCCTTTGTGGAGAGGTGGTAGCTGAAGTCGTGAAAACTGCTGCACAACGGAGGGAGACCCTCGAGGGAGGAGAGGGAACCAGGGCGGAGTCTGAAGAGGCACTCCTGGTCTGGGAGCGGTGACCGAGCTCACAAAGGACACAAAGACCTCTGTGGAGAAGCTAGGAGAGGGCTCTGGAGCGGAGGAGGCTGTGGAGGCTGCTGCCAGGGCCCCGTGAATAGGGTCAGAGCCGCAGAAAGGTCGAGAAGGATGAACTCTGAACTAGGCCCTGGGCCTGACCAGGGAAGGTGGCACTGTGAGCAATGAGCCGAGTCTTCAGTGGTAGAGAGAGGGGGTGATAACAGTAAGCAGTGGCTTTAGTTCATTCACTTTTAAGAGTTCCGGGTTAAAGGCCGCCAGGGACTTTCAGTTGTTTCCCGGGAGGTGAACCGAGGCGGCAGAAGGAAGAGTCAGTGGAGAGGGAGAGGGTGGGTGACGGGGGAGGTGAGGGAGAAGGAACAGGAGCCTTGCCTACGCGGAGGCTCTCAGCCAGCTACACTCAGGCTGCAGAGAGGATGAAAGGGCACGCGCAGGGGGTTTCAGGGAATTTCCTGGACACATGCGGACTCTCTTGTGTTTTAGACACTCGTCCCAAACCCCACTGTCCCTCCTACCCTCTGGTGGAGATTTCAGACCCAGAGTCAGATCTAAAGGAACCAAGGGGCCCCCATCCCCGTTTCGCCCTCATCCTCTGTCTGGCTCCAGCACTGCACTGCCCAGTCCGGCAGCCACAGGCCATGCGTGGTTCTTTGTTCAAATTTAAATATAATGCAATTAAAACTTAGCTCCTCACTCACACTAGCCACATTTTAAGTGTTGAATAGCCTCATGCGGCCAGTGGTCTCTGAATTGAGCAGCACAGATAGAGAACGCTTCCATGGCTGTGGAAAGTTCTGTGGGACACCACTGCTCTAGAGTCTTGGCAGTACTGCACCCCCTCTGTTCTCTCGGCAACGTTCAGCTCCCTGCACCTGACAAAAAGTTCACTTTGGGCCCTCAGGCACCGATTCACCCAGGTCTTGGGAGAAGAGACCAAGGCTTGGTCACAGGGGCATACCTGTATTATCTAGACTCCCCTCAGGCTCCAAGCGTGCCCACAAGCTTGTACTTTCCGTCCTGTCTGCTCGGGGGCTCGGCGGAGTCCCCACAGAGGGCAAGTCACCTTCGCTGAGCTCAGGACTCACAGCCGCCCTGCCTGCTGCCCTCCACACGGGAAACCTCTGGGTCTGTGCCTGCCTTTGCTTCACCCTCTCTTCCCACCACCCCATCTCCCACTCTCCTCGGCGCAGGACAACGTGTCCTTGCTTTTGTGCTTCCCGGTGACAAACGAGCGGTTGCCAGGAGGGTCTGTCACACGTGCTGGGGCAGTGCTCCCCGGTCAGTGAGAAGCAGAGGGTGAGGAGGCTGCAAAGGCCCCCAACCCTCTTCTAAGTCAACTCCCGTTTGACAAGTGCGCCTATGCACTACTTTGTTACTTAAACGACAGAGGGGCAGTCCCGGGTGAGAGGTCCCAGTTAAAAGGCACGCCATCTCCAAGACCCATCAGTGCAAAGCCCGGGGGTTCCGACTGAACTTCATTCCCAGGAATGTTCCTGCACTTCTCTGCCTTGGCTGATGCCCTTTCCAAGATAGTATTCCTTTTACGGAAAACGCGATGAACCGGGCCCATGGACTTCCTTCCACGTAGAGGGAAGCTGGGCAAGTGCTGGCCATGGTTAGGGAGAGAGACGACAGAGCCCTTCTCAGGGAGACCCCCACCCGTCCTTGCCCCTCCCTTCTAGGCGCCCTTCTTTGGCCATTCCTCCTCTTGTTCTTGCTCTGGTTTGCTCACTTTCTAGGAGCCAACCGGGGTAAGTGAGCACAGAGTTCTAATTCGGGCCCAAAACATGGCATGCTTCAATCTTCACAAAAAAATAAGCAAATAACTCCGCCTGGCAAAATTCTTCAAGGGAGAAAAAGAAAAGAAAAAAGAAAAATCCCCCTCAGAGCTGGGAGTAGGGAAACTCTCACACGGGACCTCGGGGGAGCTGCTGACAGAGGCACAAGCATCCTGATCCAGCTTCCCTCTTCCCTGGGAAGGGGTCTGGCCTCGGTGCTCGGCACGAACCCCGTCCCTGACCTGCAGGACTTCACACAACCCCACTGACCCTGGGCGGGGCGGGGGCAGGGGCAGAGAACAGCCGACTGCCCCCCCAGGGAGACGTCCGCATGCTCCTGTCCCGCCCTGAAACGCCCCACCCGACTTCTATATCACACAAGCCGGAGAGTCAAAGGAAGGGATCCATTTACTTCATCCAAAGGCCACTGGGCTGAAGAGGATTGCCCGGCAAGTTCCTGGCATGGGAGTCAAACAGCGTAGTTCAAGTCCTGCCTCATCCGCTCAAGTCCCAGGGCCACTCCTCCCCCCTCCTGCCCTTCTAACCAGTTGCTCAGCAGCTCCTTCCACTACTAGTAACTCAGGAGAAAGGTCTTATTTAAGCAGCCAGGGGGCCAGCCAAGTCAGAAGCAGCAACATGTCCTAAAATGGTCAAAGAAAACTCCACAGGTCTGGCTGGAGCTCAGCTCCTAAAGGAAGGGGGTAGAATCGGGCAGGGACTAGGAGTTTGACTTCCCGGGCACCCCGCCCCAAACCTCAGGCCCAAGATTAACCCCCTTTCTGCTGGTTACTTACCATTCCACAGGACCTCCAGTGAGTGCGGGGACAGCGGGATAGCCTTGTTCTCTTTGAACACAGGGCTGACATAGGAAGCTAAGTAAGGGACAGAGGTCCAGATCTATTAAAGGAAAGGGGTGGTGGTGACTGAACAAGGCGGACCGCACACACCCATCCACCTGATCCTTAGGGCCCAGCTCTTCTTATCTTTCCTCTCCTCATCACCTCCTTTCACTCCCGAGCCTCCTGCTGACACGCAGGAGTGCTCCCTACGGCACCGAAACACGGAACCAGAGCGAGTGGCTGGATCCAGGGTGCACACGGAGGAGAACCGGAGCCCCCTGAGAGCCCCAGGCTACACTCTCTACCAACAGTTCAGAAACTTCAGTGAGAATGTTGAGCCTGCTTCTCCGTTTGAAAAGTGGGTATCAGCTGGCATGAGGGTAAACGAAATGAAGAACATTTATTAAGTACCTATGATGTGCCAGGCAAGGTTTTAGGCATTTGGCCCCCTCCCTCGGTCACTCCATGCAGGGGTCCCTGCCCTGCCAACACCCGTTCACCTTGGCCGCGTTAACGAGTCTCCAGGCATTGAGCAGGCCAAATCCGTGCTGGTGGCTGTGGCTGAAGCCGGCCTCGTTGGTGACCCAATCGGCACGGCGGTCCTCGTACTGAGGGAACAGAGGTCCTGCTTAGTCTCTCGGATTCCCAAGTACACGTGACCCTCGGACAAGTTCAAGGGGCGCTAACCCCCTCCCCTCCCACAGTGGAAAATCCATGTGTAACTTTTAACTCCCCAAACCTTAACTACTAATAGCCTACTGCTGACTGGAAGCTTTCCTGAGAACAGAAACAGCTGATAAACACAAATTTTGTATGTTACATCTATTATATATTGTATTCTTACAGTAAAGTCAGCTGGCGAAAAGAAAATGTTACTAAGAAAATCTTAAGGAAAAGAAAATACATTTACAGCAGATCCACACATGTCGTTCAAGGGTCAACTCTAAGGTCAACCGCCTAACTCTGGCTTCCTTGCTGGCCCTGCTGGCTGACCCGGGCCAGACTCTCCCACTAAGGCCACGAGGAATGGGTTCCCCAAGGAGAGCTGGGACGAAAGGTCAAAGCCCCATGATGTCACCAGCCCCCGGAGTAAGGGAGCCCAGCGTACTCCTCTGCAGGTGAAATGGCTCGGGCAGAACAGGCAAGAGTGAGTTTAGGCCTGCGATCTTGATGGGGTGCCCACACCTGTTCTGTACATGGGCAACTCTGAAAAGCATCTGGCACCTCACTTTCAGGTGAGTCTGAAGCCCCCCGCTCCCTGCAAGTCCGTGGAAGCAGAAGCGGGGGCGGGGGTGGTGGAAGGCTGCTAGGGTCTCACCTGGGTGGCTGTGAAGACAATGATGTGCTGGACATCACGCCACGTGAGGCAGGGCCGCACCTGCAGCATCAGGGCTATCATGCCCGCCGCCAGGGGCGCTGCGGCGGAGGTCCCTGTGTGACCCTCGGTGCAGCCTGTGCCCTTCTGAAGGTCCCAGTCAGTGGTCACCTGGGAAGTGGATGGGGGGGCAGAGCAGGGTTAGACACGGAGTTCCCCGGTGCTGTGCAGAGGGGGATGGGGGACGGGCGCTCAGAGTAAGCCTCTCAGGTGGGCCCTTCCTTTGTGAGAGCTGAATCTCTGACCAGAGGGAGGCCCACTAGCCGGTCAGGACAAAGGAGATCCTTAATCCTTCGAGGCCCCACCGGACAAGCTCTGGAGAACTGAGAAAAGATGAATAAAGACTAAAGAGCTACTTAGGAGGGTCTGGTTGTGGGCAGAAAGGAGATGGAGCTGTGGGAGATGCCTTATGTGCAGAGGACAGTTTTCCCGATTCCTGCTCCTATGTAACGGTTTCCCCAATTCCCCACCCCGACCCTCCCAGCCCCGCAGCCATGGTAGACAGAGGAAGTGGCCGGGGAAGCTCCCGGGTCCCAGCTGGAGCTGGGACAACAGTGACGGCACCATTCGAGGAAATCCAACTTGGCAGCTCAGCGACAGGGGCTGGAGTGACATCAGTGGGAACAAAGGGAGTGTGTTCCCAGGGGGAGGGAACTGTGTCCTTGCCCACCCCGTGAGCTCAGCATGGGCTTCATGTCTACACGGCCTGCCCGCCCTGGCCCAAACTGCCTCACCGCTCTGGGCCTGGTGCCTCAGTGTGGTTCCCATGAGCCCCCCTTCTCTACCTGTGGTTCGGAGGTGGGAGGCGACAGTGGGGGTGGGGGCGGGGAAGGAGAGTTACCTCGAGGGGAGAGATGGCCTCAAGTTCTCTTTATCAACCCTGGAGCCACAAAGGGTTTGCCTAAATCTGCTCCACGATGTGGCTCTTTGGATCTAGGACATGGTACCAATGTTAAGACTAGAGAATTTTTTTCTTCCAGGCTTCTCTTTGGGTCAGATACCAGGGTGCTAACTTCTGCCAAGAACTGCCCTTTCTCCATTGTACTCACTCCTTCCCTCCCAGCTATTACAGCAGTTGCCAAGAGATGTAATTTTCACTCCGACACCGTGCGCTCCCAGAAGAAAAAGGAAAAAACCCTCTAAGTTGTAGTCTCAACGAGACTAGGAAGGCTGGTCTGTGCCAGGGAGCAGATGGGGTTTTTTTCCTGTTAAGGAAACAGCGTCATGGGGACAGTCTCGTGTGTGGCTATGAGGGCCGTGAACATGCCAATGGTGGCAGGAGCCCCGGGCAGCCCTAGGAAAGTCCAGGGGAGCGCCCCAGGCACCCCGCGGGGGGACAGCACATGCTCATGCCCTGCCCTCAGGAGGACCGCTGCCCCACAGAGCTGGTCACTGAACAGACACTGGCAACAGGCGGTTTCCAAGGCAAGGACATCCAAAAGTTGGGAGCTTGGCTAAACAAACTCTCTTTTCATTTCTGGACCAGTTACAGTTCAGATGGAAGGTGGAAGGTGGGGGTAGGGTAGGAGGGGGAGGGGAATTAGGAGAACAGCCAGGCAGGGCTGAGCGCGAGTCACAGCCATGCTAGGGGAGGCCTTCCTGGTGAGTGGGTTCCCCAGTTTCTGCCAGGGCACCAAGAGCATAGTTTGCTCCTGCTCTTCCTCCTCACCCAGACTGGGGGGGGGGGGGCGGTGGTGCCCTTGAACCTGACCCCTGACTGCTGGGCAAAGCCCCTCTGACGTGTTTCCTTTAGCCCACTCCCTTTTTCCTTCTCCCTGGGCGGGGGAGGCTGAGGGCCACAGGCCCAGGGCCTTGGAACTGTGTGTTGGCCAGAAGTCACTTATTGGCAAAACAGAATATCACTTTTGGCGAATGAATGTGACCCAGCAGGAAGACAAAGCGGTCTGATTCCCAATGACCCCAGAGAGATGTCCATACCTAGGCCACTGGAGAAGGACAACCCCAGGCTCCAGCCCAGCTTTCCCCTGGACCTCCTCTCCCCATATCACTCTCTTCGGGTCAGCAGGGACAGGCAGGGAGCTCTGGGGTCCCAAGCCAGAGACCTGGCCTCAGCCTGGTGGGATGGAGCTAAGCCAGCTGGGTGTGGGCACCAGACCCTGAATTCTTTAAAAGTTTCCCCAGCGTGAGAAGCTCCACTCCCCTGCTCCGATCCCTTGTTAGATACGGCTCCAATTCTAGCTCCAAGGAAAGAACTGTTTCTTAGGCTGACAGACGGATTTCCCAGACTCCTTTTCCCGCCCATTCCATGAAGACAACCACTGGCTTTACTCCCGATGGGGAATGTGACCAGAACTCACAGTATTTACGTAAGGGCTGAAGAGCAACGGAATGAAGATTTTTTCCTAAGCCCACAGGAATCAGCCAAAGCCCAAATTCTACCAAAGGAAGACATTTCAAAAGAGTTCTTTAATCAACGTGATGCATACTAGTCCCTATAACAAAATATATATTTGTAAGTTAAAATGTTAAACGTAAAAACCATGTGCAGGTTTGTTTAGGGTCCTCAGCTCTGATTTCCCAACAGTGGCATACCCTCTGACACCCAGATCTGCTAGGGAAGGGGGAGGAATTGGAGGGGCGGGCCAGGGAAGCATGGACCCAGAGAAATATGGCCGTGCTGCCTGAGAGATGTCTTGTGGGACAGGGGCAGGAAGTGCAGGGCCCAGGAGGCACTCACGATGCTCCGGAGCATCTTGTCCCCACCACTGAAGGTGACCGCCAGCATGGAGGCACACTCCTCGGCATAGAAAGGCATCCGTCCCTCCTCGTCCACAGCGCCTGGGAACAGAGTAGGGGAAATGAGAGCGAGGGGCCTGATGATATCAGAGTTGTCATCTGGAAGGCTGTCCTGAGTTTAAAAAATGATCTCTGTGGCCCAAATGCCTCAGCGGGCACACACCCCTTACCTGAACCGGCAACCTCAAATGGCAGAGGGGATTCTGGGCCCTAATACCATTCTTTCAGTAGGCTCCACATAAAACTGGGGGAGTTCCACTCAATAGCTACTCATCTGTTCACACACTCATCTTCCTCTATATTTATTCACTTATTAATGATCTACTGTGGGTCCCACACTGTGAGAGGCATTGGGGCCACACGGAAAAGGCCACAGTCTTGATCTCAAGGAGCCGAAAGTCAGGAAGGAAGTAGGGTAAGTAAACACAACCGGGCCAGCAGATGCTGTGGTGGGGGGCACAGGTGCGAGGCATTTGATTCAGACTAGTGGGCGTCAGGGAGGGCTTCAAGCAGGAGGCAAGTGGCCTGTGGGAAGAGAGGCTAGAGCGGAGGCCTGCCAGATGATGGGCTGAAAGTGTTCCCGGGGTATGGTGACATCGGAGGAAGTCCCTGAGATGCTCCGAGGCAGGGCTAGTCCCTCCTTAACTATGACCGTGAAGAGAAGATCGTGCTCAGTTGGACAGCATGGAAGCCAGGGCACGCCCAACATACACAACCCTCCACCCTCCCCACTGAGGGGCACACACAGCCCTGAAGACGTAAGCCCTCTACCACACAACCCCTTCCCCACTGAGCCCCACGCACACCAACACAGAGCCCCTCACCACGGAGCGGCTCACACATGCTCTCATGCACACACCCGCCAGGCCGCTACCTATGGTGACGGTGTAGATGGAGTTGGCGTAGCCGTCATAGTTGCAGTTGTCGTTGTGCTGGCCCCCGTTGCCGCTGGCCACCACAAAGATGCTCCCAAAGCCCCGGCGGCCAGCAATCACACCATGTTGCAAGGCAGCCTGAGGATTAAAAAGGTCCTGCGTCAGCTGAGGAACTCAAAGACCTCCACCGTCCATACCAGTAGTCTCCTCCCCTTCTAGAAAGAAAAGGGGAAAAAGCCCAAAGGCACTGGGGCAACGGGGAGAGAGATTTAAAGATGGAAGCAAGAAGGGGAGAGAGCTGTGAGTTGAGCAAGTGTTTGACGTGAGTACGCTGCTTATCAGATCTGGTGGGGCCAGTGATACGGGGGTGGGGGTGGGGTGGGGGGAGGTGGGGCACAAAATCACAGGGCAACAACTCAAGGCATTGTTCCATTTCTCTAAGAACTGGTGTCCCCCACGCTCCCCCACCTCCAGGTTAGGAGGACTCGCCCAAAAGGAGGTGGTGGGGCTGGATGCCATGAGTCTGGCACCACAAACGGGGGTAGGGTGGGAAAGGGAGTGACTTGCAGTAGTTCCAGGACCTGAATGAAGGGGGTGTCCCGGGTCTCGCAATCTTCATGCAGTTCAGTTACCTTTCCAAGCTGATGGGGGCCATCCACTGTCTTCCCATCATCATCGGGTCCCCAGCTGTTGAGAAATAACACAGAAAGAAGAGCCAGAGCCCCACTACGGTGGCCCAGCCAGGCCTCCCAGTCCCAACTGACCACCCCCCCTGCCTGGGCTCTTCCTGTCCTCCCAAGCATTCCAGCTCAGGCCCCCCATGATTAAGGGACACAGGGTGCAAAGATCCAGCCCTCACTCCAGAGTGGAAAACAGAAGTATGTGACAAGATTCTTTGTTTCCTTAGAAACGTTCCCAGTTTAGGACTACTTTCACCTGCCCCTAAAAATCCTTTCTCAGGTCCTAGGGAGCAGGAAACAATATATATTGGTAGAGAGGGACAGGAGGCCACCCATCTCCTGATCTAGGGATCTCAGACTAGCCTTGATGGCAGAGAATCCACAAAGGAAGTACTCCATCTGTGTAAGTTTCTGGGTAAGAGAAATGTATACTGTGGATGATGTCATGCACTTAAGGGGGGTGCTGGTTGGGGTGCCATCGGTGCCGCTCCCCAAACATCACCAGAACCCGAAGCTGCAGGTGCATTCATGTGTGTAGGGTGGCGGGAACCAGTGCTGGGCATTCAGCTGGGCTGTGGTGGGGGAGGAGCCCTTCTGAGCTCATGCAACAGGGGAACACGGGGCAGACCAGCGCACTCCTCATGTGGGAACCGGATGACTGGGGTGACGTGGGGCGTACGACTGAGAACCCAGCAGCCGGGGGTCTGGAGAGAAGAGAGTGACGACTTCCGGCTGAAGCTGGGAGGACCCTGGTCGGCACCTGTCGCCCTGCTGCCGGAGGCTTTGTGCCCGGCTCTGCCGTACCTGCAGCTGTAGATGTCGTTGATCTGGTAGTGCTTGTTGAACGCCACGGCCTCCATGCTGTCCGTGAGGGGCCCGTCCAGTACCCGGATACCTAGGTGGGGAGGGCCCCATCAGCTCCTCGACCATGCGGGTTCCCCCCGCGGGGAGCTGAGTGCTGGTGAGCCACACGTGGAGACTTACTTTTCCCTCTGAGCGCTCTGGTACCTTTGAGGTTTTATACCATGTGTATGTACCAGAATGTTTTTTTCCCTTCTTTTTTTAACAGAATGCTAAATCTTGAATTTTAAGGATCATGCGGGCTGGTGGGAAGAGGCCTGGGCTAGAATGTAGGTGGCCAAGTTTCCCTTCTTTGCACCCTTAATCACATAGAGCCCCGGTGCGGTGCTTGACACATAGAAGGTGTCCAAAAAAATGGTACTCATTACCATTACTGCTCCATGGATGCCTAATTTCACCGTCTAAAATGGGGTGGGTCACATCCTGGTGGCCACGTAGGGACAAACGGAGCTTTCAGAAGGGACTTGGGCCCTGAAGTTTCTTGCTCACTCTGGAGCTCATTTATGGAGAGGGTTGCTGCCCTCTGCCGGAGAGTAAGAGGAATACAGCCAATCCATTCCGTCTGCAGGTTCCGAGCCCTTATGGAGCAGTCGGGGAGGGCTCCCCCATTCAGGCCCTTCGCGTTCTCCGTTGGTGGACAAACACTCAGAGAAAGAGCCCTCGAACAAGCTCCGGTGGGGGCCAGAGCTGCTCAGCTCTCCTGAAAGCAGGGAGTGCAGACAGCAACCATCAGACGGGCTGGGAGCCGGAGAGCTGGGAGATGGGAGGGTCGTCTCCACAGACAGACCGGAAAAAGGAAGAAAGGCAGGTAAAAGGGTACTTGGGAAATTATGAAAATACAAGTATAACCTAGGTAAGGAAAAGGAGTTATTGTTACAGTAAGTTGGGTCATTTGATGGGATGTAACCACGATCAGAAAAAGGAGGGAAGTGACTGAGTGGTTGGGGCTTGAGGCCTCTGTCCCACATCAAGGCCATTCCCCCTTTTATCTATTTTATATAATAGGGTTTGCGGCTAACGACAAGTTTGAAACACCACTGCGCTGAACGAAATCAATGAACTGATACGTCCAACAGACACCTATTACAAGCTTACCCTTTGCCCAATGCCAGGTGTGTTGAGAGTGGGATCAACACTGTTCAGCGCTCGGGGGAGGGGCAGGCAGGGAGCGAAGACCATCCCCACGGGAGAAGCCCACCGAGGCGAGAGTGGAAGGTACCTGCTATGCGGCTCCCGTACGCCACTCCGACCGCACAGAAGCTGTTGTTGGGCACTGCGGCAATCTCTCCCGCACACCTCGTGCCATGGTGGTTGCCATTCTCCACATCTGGGTGTGGCATAGGGTCAGGGTCATTGGAGTTGAGGTCATAGCTGCCCTCAGGGCTCTGAAACATTGCGGGGGACATGTGGTCATTCACAGGTTTTAACGGGTTAGGTCCTGGAGTTGAGGGGTAGAGGAGACCTGGGGGAACCTGGGACTTTGGGGCTCCCAGCCAGCGCAACAGGCCCATCTCTCTCTCTCAGGCTGCAGACATGAGAACAGGACACAGGGGGCAAAACGGAGAAGTGCCACAGGCCTCAGCAAACTTCTCTCTTGTCCATTATAGAAACAGGTCCAGGAGACGGCTCGGTGGCTTGGGAAGCCCAGGATAAAAGAGATTTAGAGCTACGTAAAGACCAGGCTTTGGAAGAGGAAGGTGCTCAGAACTCATGGGGAGAGGGAAGTTGCCTCCAGGGGCCACTCCTCACTGCCCAGGGCAGGGAGCAGCAACCGTAACCAGGAAGCGCCACCTGGAGTCCTCTCCCCAGTCTTCACTACCAGACTGGAATGCTGGCTGGGGGAGAGGGGAGGACGAAGAACACCATTCCACCTCCCAGGACCTTTTGGGTGGCCCGGGGACCTTTAAGAAAGGGGGCCAGACTGGGGCCGTATCAAGAAGGGGGTAAGACACGGGAATCGGAGGGGGCGTCCCAGGGCCACTCACGTAGTTGGGTGCGATGTCCTGGATGGTGTGCTCCACTCCGTCATCCACCACCACCACGGTCACCCCTCGCCCTGTGACATTGCGTTCCCACACACCTGTCACGTTGATGTCCCTGCCAGGGCTCCGCCGGTTATTCTGTAGGAGACACGGGGTCAGGAGCCATTTCCAGAGCCTTGGGAGCCCAGTAACACATGACACAGCTCACAGACAGATAAGTCAGAGCTAGCTCGGCCACCATCAAAGGGCCGGGCAGTGGCTGTAGACCGACAGGTCTAGGTAGGGACAGAGGGACAAGGGAGGGCTTTGCCACCACCTCGCTCTCCAGGAAGACCTGGCATCATTCACCGGTGATAAAAGCGAAATGGTGGCAAGGACACGGGTTGGAGGATACAATTGTTAGGCCGTCTGATGTATATCCTGTGAACATGACATAGCATCATGTGGTACCAAGTGTTCGCCAAGTGTCAGGCACACATCTATGAATTCACTTCTCCTAGCCAGAACTCCACCAGGTACATACTGTTACAATCTCCACAGAAGTGACGGAGCTGGATCCGAGCCCGGGCAGCCTTGCCCCAGCACCCACCCCCTAACTTCTGCAGTCCACTGGCTCTCCAGAAGCCAGCACAGGGAAGGTGGAGCCCGAGGGCAAAACATGCCACCAAAGCCAACAGAAATGTGTCCTCAGGCGAAGGATGGGGGCCACGGGAGAGGAATACAAAAGCCCTCTAGAGAACAGAGCACCCCAGACTTCTCCGCCTGGGAGCTGAAGGCGGCAGGACTGGGCTTACCAGGTGCCACTGCTGCGGGTACTTGGGGTCATTGAAGTGGACGCTGCGCTTGGCCCGCTTGAGCAGCCTCTGCTCCGAGTGCCAGTGCACAGCTTCGTGCCCGGCTAACACAGTCTCCGCCCGCCGCCGGACGGCCTCCGCCGGCCACTCCTGCTGCTGCCCGGCCGGCTGGACGAGGAGGTAGTACCCCTGGAGCTCCCCGATGCGCCCAGCGTTCAGCAGCCCTGCTGCCCGGGCCAGGGCATCTGCCTTCTGCTCCAGGGTCTCTTCCGGCCCCTCGCCTTCCAAGCTGTCCAGGTGCACGGCCCAGCTTAGCCCCCCTGGGCCCTGCGCTCCGGGCCCATCTGTCCCTGCCAGGCCCATGACCCAGGGAACCAGCAAGAAGAGCCCGGCCAACTTCAGCCAGAGACAGGCGGGGACGCCCAGGGGGGCATCTAAGAGTGGCACTCTCTGCCTCCCCTTCGGCATCAGAGCAGTAGGCTGCAGACAAACAGAAAGGACAACAGAGACCCCTGCGGGGAATCTGCAGGGACACCGAGCCACCCACGTACGACTCCTAGAAACCCCCAATCCACTCCGTTTACATTTTTAAACACTTGATCCTCTCTTTTTATTCACATTTATTCCTGAGCAACAGGGATAAGCCCGCCGGTGGGGTGTGGGCCGGTACTAACTCCAGTGGATACGTCCACGGCAGGATGGCAATCACCATCTCACCAGATAATCAGGCAGGATGTCCAACTGCTAACAGGCAGCATGTTGCTCTTTGCCACTGTTGCTCTGAAAAGGACTCAAAAGTCCTATTGCTGTTCAGTAGGTTACTGGCAGAATCATGACTGTCCTTTAGAAGAGACCTTCCTCCCTTATTTAGAGCGGACATCAATCTTCCCCCCAGCTGACATCTCAGCCCAGTTGTCCTCGGGGCCGAATCTCCACAAGGGCACCCCAGTCCTACCTGGACTCTGTGTGAGGCTGAGCTCCTGGTCTGGCTAACCACCTCACGCTCATTTTGTGCAAATGGAGAAAAGGCATCACTTTCACTGAGGAATGTTGGCTCTGAGCACAGACTGCAGACCTGTGGGTCCCAAGAAAAGAAAAAATAAAAGAAGAAATGGTGTCGTCCCAAACCCAGTGGAGCCAGCAGAGGCTAGCCATGATCTGTGACCAAGGGAATTGGCCAGTGATCAAGCATCATTTCCAGGGATCTCAAGTGGGTTGCAGACTGGCAGAGAAACCCTACTTCTTATCCTAACCATCATGCCACCCTCTTTTCTGTGTTCCCCAGAGGCCCAGAAGAGGGCTTGAACTGTTGCCCAGACACCCTCCACGAGAAGCAGATAGTCCTATTTCCTAGAAGTCGAGGTGGAGCTAACTTCCTGATTTCTGTATCTCCGACAGATGCCAGGGAAGTAAGAGTAGGTAGGAAGCAGAGGAAATGGTGAAAACCCAAGAATGCAAACGAAATTGAACAGGCCTAAAAAGCAAGTGGGCAAGCGGGAAGGAAGAAATGATCGGAGAGTTGGAAAGTAGCACTAAACTTGGCTCTCCTTAGGCATGAGCTCGGCTGGATAGCTTGCAAGTGAGGGCTCAGGCTCTAAACTGGGACTGGCACCCATGGTTTGATTTCAGAAGGGCCAGATTTAGAACTGGTGGGCAACTGTGGTTCCAAGGACAGGTGAGGTGGCAGCAGAACGTGTGTGTACCTATTGGCAACTGGGCTCCTTTAGAGTCATCTGCTCTGCGCTTGTGTCACCCTGAGGCAAGGCTTTGTATCCACACACACCCAAAGGGATCCAACTTAAAACGTGATAGAAAAATAGGTCTTTTACTGAAGTCTCTTTGGAAAGGGAGAAGAGAACTTAGGTCACCTGACTTTTCCCTCCAAAAAACTGCATTCCACATCTCCTTAGGCTCCCGGGGAAAACTCCCTCTCAAATTCCTCCCCACCCTCCAGCAGCCTCCACGGTCCCAACATACTCAGATGCCTTTCCCAGACCTCACTAAGTAAAACAACATCTTGCCGAGACAGCCAGATAATGCCCCACCTAGGCAATCCCCTTCAAGTCCCCTAGATCCCATTACATTTCCGGAAGAGAAGAGAAACGAGACCACCACTTCCTTCTCTCCCTCTGGCAGAGCAGGACCGTCTCCCATTCCTTTCCCAGAACCTGGGAAAGGAACCTTAAATACTCTCTGAAAGCAGATCACAACCTCACCCAACTGCTGTGCGTATCTTTACGGCTCTTAGGTGCCAAGGGAGAAAAGAGAGAATATGGGCCGCCCTGAGTCCTGGGAAGAGCCTGTCCCAAGAGACTGCCCTCCTCGAAGCCTCTACACCAGGTTCCTAGAAACCAGGTTGCGTCCCAGGTCAGTTTCATTGATTTACCTCTCCCCGGCCTCGACTGGCCCGTGCACTGTGTCCCTCCTCTCAGAGGGACCCCTACTACCCTGGGATCCGTGACCCCAGTGTCCCGTCTCCCGGGGCTCCCCCACGCCGGGGCTGAGGGCGCCCTCTGTGCGGCCCCCTAGTCCTTAGGGGTCCGCGCCCTCCCGACCCCCCCACCCTAGCTCTGGGCCACTCGGACTTCAGCCCTGCCCCGCCCCCACCGAGTTCCCAACTCACCGGCCCGGCCGCAGCTGCCGCCGCCGCCTCCCTGCGGAAACTCGCGGCTTCCCGGGAGCCCGGGGAGCCAGTGACAGTAGCATCACTTCCGCCCGGCGGCGCAGCCAATCAGCGGCGGGGCCCCGGCCCGGATAAGCGGCCCGGAGCAACCCGCGCTAGGGGGCCGCCCGCTCCGGGCATCCTCTGCCGGGAGAGGGGCGTGAGGGTGTGGTGGGCTCCGCTCGCCTGGCCCCACCGCCCCGAGTTGTCGGGGCGTCCTCAACTGGCTTCCTGCCCGGAGGGACGGTCTTGCCCTTCATGGCGTCCTCTGGAAAGGGCGTCTCGGTTGCGACCTTTTAAAAACACCTCGTTCCTCTTCTCTCTCTGATCGCCATGGCCCCGACTCTCCCTGGGACCTTCCCAGAGGGGCTCCTCCCTCCGCCGGGTCTCCTTCCTTCTCTCCGTCGCCCCTCTCTTCCACACCGCATCCCCGGGAGGGTCCACTCGTACGTTAGGGGGCTACCGCGGAGTCCGCGGCTCCTCCACGGTGCCGGCTCTGGCCGCCAGAGGGCGCCGTCGGGGGCGGCGGGGTGCCGCCGCGGCCGCTCCTCTCCCGGCCGAGCCTCGCCCGCTCCTCTCGCGCCGCCGGAAGTGGGAGGTGCCGCGCGCGGGCCGGCGCTCGACCCCTCCCCCCGAGGCTCGGCCGCCCCCTCCCCCCGCTCCGCCCGCTCAGGTGCGTCCCGTCCCTCCCCCACTGCCTCCCGGGGGCGCGGCGCGGGAGGTGTGTGCGGGGCGGGCGTGCGGGAAGGGGACTGCGACGCCCGGGGCCAGGGCAGGGGCAGGGGGTCGAGGCGGGGGGGGCGTGGAGGGGGCCCGTGCGGACGGGGCGGGGGTCCCGGCCTAGGAACGGGACGGCGCCGGCAGCGCGGTGGGGCGGGGGGGGGGGTGATGGAAAGGTGTGGGGGGGCTCCGGTTCGAGGAAGCGGCGGACTTAGCCGTCCCCGGTTGAGGCGGCCGTGGCCACCCGGCGCCTCTTTCCCCATTGTCCCTTTCGCGGCCGTGCCCCGTTCTCCTCCGAGCACCCGTCGCTCCCGGCGTCGCCGCCTCGCTGGTGGTCGCCGCAGGGATTCCCTTGACACGTTCTACTTCCCACCCCGCGCCGCAGCCTGCAGCCCGACGTACCTGCCCCGCTCCCCCTTGGGCTGTAGTGGCGGCGTCTCACGTAGGACCCGTGCCCTGCGGTTCCGTTTACCGGGCACCGAGGACCCCCGACCCTGGGCTCTGTCCGGGCAGGATGTTTGCACCCGAGGGAGCAGTAATGGCGATTTGGGCCCATTTTCTCCTAGGAGCTTTGTATAATGGGGGAAACTGAGGCACAGCGGGGTTCCCTGGCCTATGACTGAAGTGTTGACAGAGCCCAGTCTCCATGCTTGCCCAATGCGAGCTTGAAGGTTCCGGGCGGTGGGGCGGGGTGGGGGGGGCGGTGTGAATATCTGTGTTGCTATTAAAATAAAAACAAGAACTTAAATTAACCCTATGTACACCCCTCGGCCCCCCCACATTCTTTTACCCCCCGCTTTGTCTTCACCGTGGAGGGCCGTGAGTTTGTCCTGCCACACAAAGGATGACCTTTTGATCCAAGAAAGGCATCAGTCCCGATTCCCTGACTTGGATTACCCTGTTTCTCAGTTTCTCTTTCTCTTAGTGGAGTACCCAAGATTCTTGTACTCTTTTGCACCCCTGTAGTAACTTTGAAGAGTCTGTATTTTTCTCAGTCAGTGATTCTCGAACATTTCCCATCTGTGGGGAGCACACTGACAGTAAAAGATGCTCCGATTGCCCAGCATAGTATTGCTTTTTTTCTCACATACGAACACCTCCAAAACACTTCACTTAAATGAACAGATAATGCTTTTAATGATTTAAAATGTATAAGATGTTGTTGATTGTTGGGCCCCCAAATACCTTCTTTGTAAATAATATTAGGTAAAGTAGGTACGTGGACCAATTGGAAGATTCTCACAGACTGTAGTCCGTTTTAAATGACTGCATCTCTGCCAAAAGTGGAAAAGCTTTGCTCGGACTCCTAGATACTTATATAAATACGGTGATTTCCTAGGATCGATGTCCACTTGGGCCTCTTGTGCCTTGCTACACAAAACTCTTGTTTAAGTATTTTCTCCTAGGACCCAACTTTTTCTCTGTGTTTCTTTCCTGGAGTAACTCTGTGGTATGGACATTCTGAGGGGGAAAGATACACTTGTTTTAAAATTTGGAAACTTGCAGCCTGTAATTTGTTTCTGAATGTACAGAGCATGATGGCAGCGGCGTCCGAGGTAGCTGGTGTGGTGTCCAGTGCCCCCAATCCTCCAGAATCCTCTCCTAGTTTATGTGCTTCCAAATCAGACGAAGGTCTCCCAGATGGTCTAAGGTAATGTGCGCAGCCTTGACTGGGAAGATTTCATTTGGGTGAGGGGCTGTTGAGATGGCTTCTTATGGAAGCGTAGATGAGTTTTCCTCTTTTTGGCTTTAGTGACACTGCATGAGAGTAAGCTTTTTAAAGGTAGGGACTGTCTGATCCGTGTGTGTATTTATGGTACCTACCACAGCGTCTGGCACTCAGCAGGCATGCTAAGTGTTTGTTGAGTCAATAGAATACAGGGGGTCAAACTCTTCTGAAAATGCTAATATTTCCCCACCCTTTTTTACATGGACTATATATGTTCACTTAATTGTATACTTATGATATAATATCTATGTCTATATCTACATACGATACCTATACATTTGGGTTATGATTATGTATATTATAATGATGTATATCATACTTGTATATTTATGTCTTCTGTATTGCATAGAGATATAGATGTGTATGCATATACATACATATAGCACATACATATTCATACATACACACAGATATATGTGTATCTGTCTTATCTCCAGATAAACAGATAGCTTTGTTAGTATGGCTTACTGCTTCACGTAGATATTTTGCCTCCTCTCTAAACTCTTGAGGGCTGAGTTATGGTTGCCCAACCTTGCATCTTAACAGTGCTTAACATTAGCTATGTATAGTGTTATACTAAATTGACTGTATGTTCCACCTGAACTCTTTCCTAGAGTACCTAGGACCTAATATAATAGATACTACTGTACTAACAGTTTTATATGTATTAACATATTTAATCCTCATAACAATTGCAGGAGGGAGGTGCTAATGTTATTATTCCCATTTATAGGTGAGGAAATTGAGACACAGGTTAGTAACTTGCCCAGGGTTGCCAAGCTACATTGGAGTCAGGGTTTGAACCCACACTTGTCCGACTGTATAGTACCTCATAAATACTGGTTTAAATGAAGAGAGATTTGTTGGCGAAGGGGTAATGGGCAAAAATGTTAAGTAAGCCTAACCATCAACCTGGATCTTCCATTTTATAAACAGAGTCAGCCACATACTCCTCGTAATAATAATGACAGCTAGGGTTTATTGAATATTTACTGCGCTAGGCCGTGTACTAAATACTTCAGATGCATGATTTCATGTCATCCTCACAATAATCCTAGTAGGTGGGTCATATTTTTGTTTTACAAATGAAATTAAGTAACTTACCGAGAGTCATTTACGTGGTAAATAGCAGAGTCAGGATTTACACCTTAACCATTTATGTGGTAAATAGCAGAGTCAGGATTTACACCCAGGTACTCTACTGTATATGCCAAATCAATAATTTAAGTGTCTCCCCTGCTTCCCCAGGTAACTCTCAGCAAGGAATCAGCTAGAGGTGTTTATAAAGGTTTTCATATCCCAAAGACGCTCTTGGTTGTTTTATTTTGAACAGCATGTGCTGTTGAGGAAAGGAAGGCACCGTGATCTAAAGCCTCAGTCATTGCTGGCTTGGGGTACTTAAGGGCATCAATTGACAGAATCAGTTTTTTAAGAAAAGAAGGGGCAAAGAAATTTAGCACAGATGTAGTCATTATTCCTGGGTGGGAGGCGTACTGTTGTAAATGTTAGATGTCACTGTAAATAGGTTTTAAAGATTTCTTCAAAAAGCAGTACATTAAGTGGCTGTGACAAACGACAAAACAACTATCCCAGTGTTTATACGTGTCTATGTATTTGTCTGGGGTAAAATTTCTACTGACAGCTTCAGTTTCGGATTCAGTGTCTGTACCTCAGACACCCTGAAGTGGGGATGCCGTGCTCTGGAAAACTGTTGAGGAACTTAAGAGGTGGTTCTGGTCAAAGATCTGTATGAGGAATTTGAATGAAAATTATTTTCGTGAAGCGTGAGAGTGGAATAAAAACATTTTTTCTGAATTAATATTTTATTTGTTAGAACATGAGGTATAACTAAGTACAGCTAACTAAATGAGAATACTCTAACGAGCAGCAGGCTATTTCATTGACATTCTCCAAAATTATTCAAATTGGACCTCGGAAATTTGGGGCTCATCAGAGTCATTTATGGTCACCCGACAGGAAATGTCTGTCTCCAGCACCCAGGTTCTAACCAGCAAGCTCTACTCCCTGCATGTGGGTCAAAATCGCTGGACAGAGACTAAGTTCCACGTCATTCTGATAAATTGAGGGGCTTATGTAGTCTCGTTTTGTTCTTCTAGTCATTATGTTGATTATGTATTTAATCTTCCTTAAGATTGGTTGAAGAGAGAAACTTTTTATCTTATGTTTTTGATAGCCCCAAAGACCCTGCACAGAAGCACAAGAACTCGCCTCTGTCGAGTGTAAGTAGCCAAACGATAACCAAGGAGAATAACAGAAATGTCCATTTGGAACACCCAGAGCAGAATCCTGGTTCATCAGCAGGTGACACTTCAGCAGCGCACCAGGCGGTTTTAGGAGAAAACTTGCTAGCCACAGCCCTTTGTCTTTCTGGCGGTGGGTCTCAGTCTGATTTGAAGGACGTGACCAACACAGCAGGAGAGGAGGGGGACACATGCCTCCGGGAGAGCCTCCATCCCGTCACTCGGTCTCTTAAGGCAGGGTGCCATACAAAGCAGCTTGTCTCCGGGAATTGTTCTGAAGAGAAATCCCCACCAGCCTCCATCCTAAAGGAAGGGAGCAGGG